CTTCTAACAAACTGTGAAATTTACTACTTCTCTCCTCGCGTAACCGCTTCCTTCATTCATGAATCAACTCTAGGCAAGCGGTTTCCTTATATGGAGAAATGGGGGCGTGGTAGTATGCTGATTGCAGATCGCGGACACGCGCCTGTCAATTTAGAATGGTTCTGATTTACTAACATACGCACGGTGGTGAGAACAAAATTGGCCGGTAAGCATGTGTCATGAATCCGACAGTGATTTTGCGCAAGTACTTATTTTTGAGTAAGAACATTTCTGCGCAGATATTAGTGAATGAGGCCCATTGTGTCATTAGACTGCAGTTGGTTCGGATCGAGGTCAGAAACTAGGAACCTAAGTTTGTTTGTAACCCAACCGAGACCACCTTTTCAAGAAGGTCTCGGTCCGGTTGTTTTGGTGCATGTGATTGATGTGGTCACACCTGCCCAAACAAACTGCACTTAGAGGGCAAACGAATTTGAGTTTGATTGAACAAAACCAAACAAAGCAGGTGTGAAAGCACCCTAAGTGTGTTTCTTTAAGCCTCCGTGCCAAAAAACCCAGTCTGCTCTGATTGGTCAGCGTTTCTGGGTCTTCCGCATCTTGGCATCTTTGCACTGTCAACATACTCAGAGAAAAAAATAGTGACGGAGTATGGCTGCTCTTTCTGCTGTGAAAAATCACCACGAAATGCTTCTTTTTTTTTTTTAAAGATTATTTTTTGTGCCTTTAATAATAGAACAGTGTAGTGTGAAAAGGGGAGAGACAGGGAATGACCTGCAGCAAACCTGTGGCCGCTGCAACAAGGACTGAGGCTTTGCAGACAGGGCACCTGTTTTAACCACTAATCCACCAACGCCCCCACTAAATGCTTCTAAACACAACTGGACGTCTTCCAGTAGGAATACGATCTGAAATCGAGGTGAAATTAACAATATTGGCGGCCAAGATTACATATTTTCTGATGTTAGCATGTAGCTAAATGTACGTTTAACTCATTACCTGGAACTTTGGCTGTGTTTAATATGAACATCCGACACTGGAACATTATATATATGTTTCATTACACAACTGTACATATCACCAGACCTAAAGTTTAAATATCAAAACAGAATATGTGAGCTGTGTGTTTTGGGTGAAGTGGAAAGTGAGTCCCATTTTCTTTTATATTGTACAAACTATTCTGACTTAATAGAGCATATATTCTAGGAAACAGCTCGTCTAAATCTTGACATTTTCTGGTGCTCAGATGACTAAAAGTTGGAAAAGCTGATTAATGTTGATGTGTTTAAGTTTGCCAATGTTCTTGCAAAAGCCTAGAAGACAGGCAGGAAAGTCTGTTTAATTAGAATTTGAGTTCTTTTTTTCAGTTTTACACATTATATGACTGTCAGTGATCCACAAACTTGGTCTGATTATATATGATAGTTCTGCTGCTTTGTTCCATCTTATTTCCTTTTAATGCTGTCCAAATGTATGTTTGCTGGACTCTGATCCTGGCTTACTCTGAATTTATGGTGTCTTGTAAGCCCATGTGGGCTGGGCATAACTGCTTGCATGCCACAATAAAAAAAAATCCATTCATTCATTCATTATCAAAGAGAAAATCATCAATGACAAATGATTAGACAAAAGTCTCATAGGGATCAAGATAGGCACTTTTCAGCGGACAATTAAAGTCATGGTGAAATTGGCTCACTCACGGTATATTTTAGCTGTTGAAAAGAAATGATTTGGGCAACTTACAACTAACCAGACCTGACCATCTTTAGACATGACAAGCAAACCGTAGAATCAGTAGCAACAGTTCAGTTCAACACTTCAACTGACATCATTGCTCGGAAACTGACAGGAACAACAGGGTTTTACTGGTGTGACATGTAGCTCTGTGAGTAGTGCAAGTGTCTGTGTGTGTGTGTGTGTGTGTGTGTGTGTGTGTGTGTGTGTGTGTGTGTATTTGCATACCATACTGGCAGAAGCCAGAAGGAGGGTCTGACTGGGAGAGCAGACACACACTGAGTTTCTGTAGAAAACCACAGCAAGCTGTATTCAGGTTTGGATGCCTGGAAGAATCGGTAAGAAGGAGACATACAGAGTCAGAGAAAATGCACATGAATATATAGAAAAGACAGAAAGACAGCAGGAAACAAAGAAAGTTGAAGGGCATCTGAGACGAACACAGCACAAATCCTCCACAAAGCACGGTCAAAACAGTCAAGAGGGAACGGAAACATAGGACAGGATGTGCCTTGACTAAGTCCTTTCAAATATGAAACACAAGCACGGCATGGTTCAGTTTCATTACAGCTCAGAGCAGGGGGGCCTAAAGCCTACTGAGTCAACCACGTTTATGACCACACCAACACACACACACACACACACACACACACACACACACACACACTTCCACTCACAAAAGCACATATGCTTACACATACTGATTCTAAACACACACACAGCAGTCTTTGAAGCTGCAGATCTGTTGCTCTGAGACGACACACTGCTGAGACGACTCGCTTATTGGAAAAAAAGTAGACAGAGTGACTCAGAAATGACAGATGCCTCAGTCGAATTATCTGTCTCATTGTTCAATGTGCTCCGACAGGGAATGATAATAAGAACTCAACTTTCTGAGCCACCGCGGTTTAACACACAGATACACACACAGCTACACTTTGTAGACAGCAGTGCTTTGTTTATTGCCGTGTATATATGTGTATGTGTGTGTCCTCAGGTTATCCTGTTACACTGTACCTGTTCCCCGCACAGAGGAGCCCTTTGTGTTCCAGAGCCAGCCTGTAGAAACCCGAGGACGCTGCAGGGAAGAGGAGGTGAAGAGCGGAATAAAGGATGGATGAAACAGTGAGAGATGAGGAAGAAGAGAAAGATGGTGATAAAAATACTATTTATATAACACTTTTTAAAACAAAAGTTACAATGAAGAGAGAAGCCTGTCATCATTGTGCCAGAAATCATAATTCAGTCTGAGTCCACAATCCCTAAACCTTCTTCAGGGTTCCCACACTTTCTTAAAATATCAAATTCAATGACATTTCACAGACTTTCCAGGCCCAATTCCCACAAATTCAAGGACCCACATAGCACAGTTTGAGACACAGATCATGGTTAAACACTGGTACAACACTAAGGCTTAACAGAAGCTCAAAGCCTTTCTCTCAGAAACTGCAATTACTGCCTTGCTGTTGTACTGTATGCCCCCGCAAACCAGTCAAGTTGCACTTCCTGTCTGTGAAAACATGGATGCTTCACACACACCTTCCCCCCCAGCAGCACATAAGATCTATACAATAAACCCAGTGCCAAGGTGGACACCCAAGATTAGTGTCACTAATTCAGTATTTGTCTGAATCACTACCCCTCTGTTCCTGAGATATAAAGTGTTTTTGAAAAACATTATGATGTTACAGTTAAGTTGACCTTTGACAATTTGGATATATGATGTCATCACTTCATCATTTTATCCTATTAGAAAATTGTGTGAAGTTTTGTCATAATAAAAGAATTAATTTTGAGTTATGGATAAAAACATGAGGTCATAGTGACCTTCACCTTTGACTTGCGACCATCAAATTCAGATCAGTTCAGCTGGAGTGCAAGTGGACGATTCTGCAAAACTTGCTGGTATTGAGATATTACATCATTACACAAGGGCACAGTAACCTTGACCTTTGACCACCAAATTCTCACCACTTCATCGTTGAGTCTAAGTGGATGATTGCGCAAAATTTTGAAGGCACTCCCTTAAGGTGTTCTTAAGATATCATGTTCACAAGAATGAGACAGATGAGGTCGCAGTGACCTTGACCTTTGACCAATGACCACTAATATCTAATTAGTTCATCATTTAGTCCAAGTGGAGGTTTGTGCCAAATTTGAAAAAACAAAAAATTTCAAGGCATTCTCTAGATATCACATTCATGATAATAAGACATACACAAGGACAAGGACACAGTAACCTTGACCTTTGACCACCAAATTCTAACCAGTTTATCACTGAGTCCAAGGGGACAATTGTGCCAAATCTGAAGACATTCCCTCAAGATGTTCTTGAGTTATCATGTTCACAATAACAAGACGGGTGCAAGGTCATGGTGACCTTGACCTTTGACCACTAAAATCTAATTAGTTCATCCTGAGTCCAAGTGGAGATTTGTGCCAAATTTGAAAAATTTCCCTCAAAGCATTCTTGAGATATCACATTCAATAGAATAAGACACACACAAGGTCACAGTAACCTTGACCACCAAATTCTAACCAGTTCATTGTTGAATCCAAGTGGACATTTGTGCCAAATTAGAAGAAATTCATGCAAGGTGTTCTAAAGAGATCACGTTCACAGTTCACAAGAATGAGACCGATGAGGTCAGGGTGACCTTGACCTTTGACCAATGACCACCAAAATCGAATTTAATTAATTGTTGAGTCCAAGTGGACCTTTGTGCCAAACGTTATATAAATTCCCTTAATGTGTTCTTGAGATAATCAGTTCATTAGAATGAGACAGATGCAAGGTCAAACTGACCTTGATCTTTTACCTATGACCATCAAAATCTAATAAGTTCATCACTGAGTCCAAATGGACATTTGTGCCAAATTTGAATAAATTCACTCACGGCGTTCATGAGATATTATGTTCCCAAGAAGTGGCTGAACATACGAGTGTATGCATGTACAGACGTACGGACAAATAGAAAACGCATAGCCTCCAACCACAGCTGTGACAAGCGCAGAGACATAAAAAAGAGGCTTGTGTGAACGCTTCTCAATTGTGCTGTGTAGCAGTGTTTGCAGAATATGTGGTCTTTTGCCGTCTCTAACACAGCACAGCAAAATGATATGTTCTGTAAACTGAGTGACAGAGACTAAGATTTATGATTCTTGCCCAAAATATATGAATTCAAGCACTTTCAACGACCCATATCTATTTATATCTATTTTTAAACCTTTCAAGGCCTCATTTTTTTCCCTCAAATACACAAACTTTAAAGGATTTCAAGGACTTGTGGGAACCCAGCTTCACATTTTAATCTCACATTTGTTTTCAAGCTTACACACAGACACTATATTCTAAAAATACTCTGAAGGATCAGGGAGAGAAAACTCATCATTTGGCAACGTTGGAGGTAATGGGACAGCAGTCCTCTTTTAATTCTATGGGGGGAAAAGCTATATCGTGAAGCTGTACTTAATGTCTTGGCTGTTTAAATGGTGCAGCAGGAGAGGGAGAGAGAGAGAGCACCCCTTACTTATTTGAGGGAAGTTTCAATTTCATAAAGCTACTAACACTCTCTGGTGGATCTATGCCAAGGTATAGCCATATCAGCAGAAAACTGCTCTGCTTTGTTAACCGCTTGCAGCATAAATATAAAGCTTAACTTTCTTTTTAACGCCACCACACTGGCTTGTCTAGACGCCCAAGGCAACGCGTTTCCTGTCAATAATTGAGGCTCATCATGTGGACTGCCAGATTTGGACAGATTGCTCAGTTTTCCCCTACAGTGATATAAAATTCCATCAAGCAAATGTTGAGGCGTTTAGCCCTGTCTTTGATGAGGGCAGAATCAACTGCTGCTGTTTCTATAAACTGCATAAAATATTGATTTTGGTTTGTGAACACTTCCTGACAGAAACTGTTATGTGATAATGAAATGAAATATGAAGTGTACTGCACGTTGCATGATTAGCTGGTAACTGAACTTAATAGTGTAATTGCTTCTGTTTGTGCTTATTTAATTATGTTAGACATTTAGGGCTTTAGACTAAATGTACTATAAGCAGGGTACTTAATTGGCAAATGGCAATAAAACAGTGAGCTTATTAGAAATATGTTTGGTTAGTATTAGGTTTTGTAATCCCACCATGTGAGCTCGACACTCTAGTTTTACATTGTATAGGCTGGTGCTATATGTTGCCAGTGACACTGGCTGTCCCTGTACAAGCCAGCTCAGTTACTAATATCACAAATATCATCGCAGAGCTTCTTTGATTTTTTGATTTAACCACTGACGCCCATCTGACAAACAAATATTAACCTTCAGCTCAGGTCAGAAATCTGAGGAGAAACACGTGGTCCATCATCTTAAAGTATGGAAACGTGTCCACCTTAAAGTCTTATCTCGTTTCATTCACCAAGTTCTGTGTGCAGAAAAAAAAAAACAAGTCTAAATGTAAAACTCGTCATTGATTATGTCAAATATATTTCATGAGGGCAGCAGGAGATTTGTAACATTATTCAAAAGGACTGTATAAAAACAAAATCAACTCAAACTTTATCATTTCAAGACCTGTATATTCCCACAATATCAATGACTGACCTTAAAACAAATCTCATAGAATTTAATGATTCACTGTCTGTAAATGGTATCAGCAGCATAAATGAAAGCCAACCTCAGCTTTTGTTTGCTTTCTCCTTGCTATATATGTTTTTTTTAGCAGTGTGTCCACAATTTTCGTATCTTCCTCTTCGATGTGTTCTGCCTACAGAACTGTATGGTTTGCCAAGGAACGTGCAGAACACAGTTTAATAAGAATAAGAAAATACAGGCAGAGGGCAGAGTCTCACACTTTTAAATGCTTTGCTGATTTTCACCCAGCTTTGTATCATAACAATGTGGGTAGCACGTGTAAATGAACTACTTTAAACATCCTTCCATCTTGCCAGCAGCCAGATCTACCTGCTCATTTGCCTGACAAAACCCATAATCCTGCAGACATTTGCTGGCTCTAGGGCTGTTGCTCAAACAGCAGATTGTACTTCCTCATTTTTGTGTGCCCAACACTACTACCGACACAAAGGGTAAAAAAGTGGATTGAGAGAAAGGGCCACCCCTGCCTCTCTCTGGCAAACTCTGATCAAACTGTACAAGTGGGCCATACTGATCAAATATAAACCAAGATGTTGTTAATGGACGGCACATTTCTTGTCCAAGATGTCTTCAGAAACATATTTTAAAGCACTGTTTGGCAGTAATATGAGATTTTGAGAACAGAAAGTGGACACCCTACTATTTTCTGTATTGTGAAAATGTCGGTTTTTCAGTCTGAAATCAATCAGCGATCAAACAGTAAAACTGAGTGGTGCTGATAAAATATGAACCTAGATTCTGTTACTGCATTGCCCATTTTTCACCTCAAATTCTTTCAGAAACATATTTTAATGTTAACTTGTCCGGTGCGGCGCAGTGCATTGCTGTCTCTCTTTGCTCATGTAGCACTAATTTCTAAGTAACTGTGTCTTTCTACGGCACAGACACCCCAGTTTTATGAAAAGAACATCTTTCCAACAGTGAAATACTTCTTTAAGTGATGATTATGAGGAATTACTTTTGCATGAGTCTGTATGTTGTTTTTAGGAAAATCCTGCATTGTCCAATTTTAATGTACTTCATATCAATAAATGTATATTATTATATAAATGTAATAATCCTGAAATAACTTCTATTTTTCTGTTATCAACATTGTATTTCATGACTTCATCCAACTTTACATTATTTTCTTTGAAGCTAGTCAACAGTCAGTTCATAATATTTTCATCTTGTGTCATCACTATAATATTACAGGGACTGACAGCCCGGCCCTCCGGATAATGGAGAAGAGATTTGTCTGCGACTGCACTAGTCAAAGCTGGCCATTTTGGGCAGAATATTCATGAAGATACCAACATCAGGATTGCTACACCCCATTTGTCAATGTTCCAGTGCTAAGGGGAGAACACACACAGTGCAGTTTACTGCCATGAAACTAGAAGACAGAATGCACAATACTGAAATAAAATAAAACAAAGTAAAACAAAACAAAATATTTGCTGATTTGAGGTTATAGTTTTACACAACTTACCGAGCTTATTTGCAAAGACAGGCATGAATGACGGAAGCAGGGTGAACTGGAAGAAAAGGATGGAGTAGAAGTACTGCAGGATCTGGGCATTGGGTGCATGCTCACACATCCTCTACACACACACACACACACACACATACACAGAGGAAATTACAGACGAATGACCAAAACACAAACTGTGAACCATTTCTTCTTGTCTGATTTTTAGCCTGAATAGAACCAACTTTAGAAAAACCAACATAATAAAACAATTACTGGCACTACAGCAGAGGTACGATATGCTCAAATATCCATGTGTACACAAAACTAATGGAGACAGTGTGTGTGTGGCTGTGCTTATCAAAATAGTTATTTAGAGAAACAGCCAGACAGAGCGAGGTAATCATTGTCATCAATTTCTCAGAAAAGAGACGTGACAAGTCAGAAGAGTATTTTCTCAAGTGTTCGGTTACAAGTGTTTGTGACAGAGTTAGAAGGTTAAGATGAGAAGATAATGAATTGGATGTGTGCATCTGTGTGTGTGTGTTTGTGCTTGCAGCTCTCACAATGACGGTGGGTATCCAGACGGAGTCGCAGCAGCGCAGCAGACAATAATACAGGGACTCCAGTGAGTCCTGAGCATGGCTGTGTTTAAATGGAGCTGTGAACATGTTCTCCTTCAAAACAGGCTCTGATGCACAGTCCTCGGTCAACCTTGGACACACACACACATACATAAACACAAACACCCCCACTTACATACATACAAAAATGACATAAAAATGTCAAGAAATACTGGTACATGTGCATACGAAGGATTTCACTTAATACCCTCATCTAAAATTGAACTGAAACATTCTGCTGGTGGGCTGAAAATATTAATTCCAATGGCTTCATTAATAATTAATAACATTCACATTTGGCATATCACAGATTAACACTTGATTTAATACAACACATTAATTTTTTTTTAAAAAACTAATATGAAAAAAAAAAATCTTTAAGACATAAGGAAGAACTTGTTGAGATGGATTTAAATTTAGATTTAATCATCAAACAACAAACAACAACCTAAGACCAATGACTCCGTTTGTCCATTAGTGAGTCTGATTATTCACTCTCACTGTCCCAGTGATCCCATTAAACTCCCTGAACATGATCGTACAATGTGCTGACCTGCAGGCAGCCTGAAAACAGACCAGAGCCTGGAGCAGAAATCCTTCAGACCTGGAACCCTGGCTGTTGGGGTCTGACCTCCTCAGACTCCCCTGGGGGATAGCAGAGATAAAAATGGGAAAAATAAAGGAAACCGGAACATGAGAAAAGAGTGGAGGAAAAGACAAGCCAATTTAAACAACATCCAAAAGGAAATGATCATCTTATCATAGCACCAAACGGACTTCCTTATGGGAATCATTAAAACAATGAAATCTCTCCATAAAGACAGACACTGTGATTAACAGGGTTGAGTTTCATTCACATTTGAACTGATACTTGGACCCAACGGAACATTTTCTCAGTACTTTACTTTCTCTGTAATAACAAAAATGTAATTGTTGAACAAGCTGCAGAGGTGACATTGCAGACTTGAACGCAATTCTGCTCCTCTGCTCTTTTCTCATCACACATAGAGCTAATCTTCTGTGTCTGTCTGCTTCTGTGTGTGTGTGTGTGTGTGTATGTGTGTGTGTGTGTGTGTGTGTGTGTGTGTGTGTCTGCTCATCTAGCAGTGATACTAGCCATTACTAAAATAATATAGAAAAGAAAATAGGTACTGCAGTGAAAGTTATGGCTCACTGGGAAGCTGACGGAGCAGCCACAGAGCTCTGTGGCCGGGTTCCCAGTTTTGGAGCACTTCTGCCTCCTGCATGAAGTTGAACCCGCTCTGACGGCGGCAATGGAGTTTCATGGCTGGCTTCCAGGTTTCATGGTTCTTCCAGCACTTCTGCCTATCGACTTTGACTCAGCGTTCTCACCCAAATGCACATATCATGACGTAGAGGGGGATGCTTCTAGTCACCCATCTATCAACACTGCTGAATTTGTGCTTAATTTTGTCTCTTCTGTCTCTTTTGCAAGTGTTGGTGGTGCTTTTTTGTGGTTGGCTTTGAACATGGCTGCAAATCACTCATTGGGATGTGAAAATCAACTCACCAGTCTGTGAATTCTTTTGCTAGCTAGCCAGGCCAAGTTATTCAAATGTAAAACCAGTAAACATTGAGGAAAGATGGAGAAGAATGAGCATCAGCTGAACTTGCATCCTTAAAGCCATTGTACAGGTGGTGGAAAATAAACTGGACGGCCTCTGTGCTGCATCAGTTCCAACAGGATATCAGGAACTGTAATATTCACTGTAATGATTCACTGACAAAATCCTGGACAGTGCCATTCAGCCAGGAGGCTTTTCGTCTATATGCCAATCTGACAGAGCAGAGGCCTCTGGTGAGAGAAGGAGTGGGATTGTGAGGTGCTGTCCCGTTCCGGCTGTGAATCACTGCTGTACACCGTTCAGAGGTGGCTACAGAGCGGTGATGTGTTCGGGAGAAGCAACCATACAGCCATCTTGTTCACAACCAGAAACCATGGATTATCAGAACCATCCAGAAACGTGGACAATTATAAAGTGGCAGCCATCAATGTAGGAAGACACAAAAAAAGGACTACATTACAGCGCACCAGTTCACAGTTGTACATTGTACAATCCATGTGATGAATGATTGATTGATTGATTGATCTCAGATAACATCTGGCACAGATGGATTTAACGTGAATCGGTAAATGTTAGTATCGAGGTAATTTGTTCAGTACCTTTAGTACAGAGTTTGGTACCCAACCCTAGTGATTAAAGTGAAATACATTTATTCTCTCAACTGAAACATGAATCTATGCCAACCAGAAATCTCTTGCTGACAGTAACATCACTGTCCTTGTTACAGGTGCGACACTCCAGCTTTCAGTCAAGAATCAGTATTCCTGTCTGAAACAGAGGCAGCAGTGAGGGACAGCTATGAAAAATAGAACAGAAAAAGACCTTCAAGGGATCGGACATGTCAATCACACACTGTATGTACTGTGTGACATGTGCTAGATAGCATCAAAGACAGGGAAAAAAAAAATTCTCCGGAGAATCACCATAAGACAACGACTCAGACAGACTGCACAGTCTGACAGTTCTCTTCACCACCAGTTCCTGAATTTAGCATCTCTATATTATATTTGTGGATCAAACATAAAGAAAAACTAACTCACAGTGTTTCGACGATGAGCAGGGGAGGGTAGGGACAGCTCAAAGAATCTCTTAGTGATAGCCTCAATTAATTCCTCTATCTTCCCGTACTGGACTGGTATGGACTGGTGGTTCAGTCTGAATAATTCAGAGAGTGGCAGCAGTTTATACAAAGCAAACACTGGACAGAAAAAATTTACACAACACTGTATGATTATTTTAGGTAACTTGGAAGGGAGGAGGATGGTAATGGAAAGAAGCTGGCTGTTACAGAGTGGGACACAAGTTGCATTTCCACCAAACACTTTTGATATAGTAGGTAACGTACGTACCATTACCCGTACCAGTATGTACCTAGATCTGCTTTGCATTTCCACCGCAGACAGTACTCATGTAGGTGGGGTTGTTGCTATCATCCCTGCTCTATTACTGTATTTCTTTACTGACAATGCAGAGGAACATCTGCACCTTAATCATCTATCGATCGGGGCACCCCAACATTTTCAGAACATAAAGAAAAGACTGGTGTGTTTACAGTCTCCCTCACAATCAACAGGATATTTATAAGTATCGGGTTTGTGCACTGAGTTCTTGTCAAGCAAGAGTGGCAATTCTCTTGACCAGTCAACGGACTGCAATGTTTCTAGCACCACCTTTTATTATCGGATCAGTGTGCTAGGTACCTCAACAGAGGAGTAACAAAAAGAGGACTGAATGGAACGGTTCTATTGGTACCATCTACAACTATATATACAGTATATGTATAACAAACTGAACAAAACTGAATTGGGCTGCTTAGTGAAAACAAGGCTATAACGCAAATTTGTGAGCAAGAGTGTCTGTGTGTGTATGTGTCTCAATGAGTGCAACTCACGGTATGGGGTTTGCCAGAGGCTAAGCCTACAAGTGTCCTTGAAAAAGCACCTATATCAGTATATCTACCTTGTAAACCTGCGGGTCTCTGTGTGTCTGTGTGTCTGCGCATCTCAAGAATGTGCGTTTGTGTATACCTGCACAGGGCGGCAGCAGCGGTGGCAGCCTGTGTGGCTACCAGCAGGCAGGAGGACGTGACTCCACCCATAACAGCCTCTGATACTGCAACAAAACCTGAACCACTGGGGAACAGACGCATGTTTGGGGGCTGCCTGTACACACACACACACACACACACACACACACACACACACACACATATAAACAGCACTATCCAACAACAGTGCATTTTTTTCACAGATAAATAGGTGTCATTACAGTGTTTCCCCTAGGATTTTGTGCCTGGGTTTTTGTTTCAATCAATATCATGACTCATACATAGCTTGTAAAAACAATTGATGACTGTCAACAAATAGAACATAGATACAAGTTACCTGCATAAAATTTGCTTCCAGTAATGACATCAAAACCAAATCACAATTATCCCCCAGTCTCACCTAATCAACCCTGTGTTTCTAGTCGTACAGACATAACGAGTCAAATCCTGGAGAAATGCAGATCAGAAGGAGTTAGTATACCCTGCATAAAGATGCCATGTCGGTCGTGTGGGCACAACACGGGACGAACAAAGCTAAATGTAAACACTGTCAGAAAACAGCAGAGTGTATCGCAGCCTCTACAGAAGCATTCAGCGTGGTGTCTTAGTGTGGTGAGCGAGGAGGAAGATGATGTGTTCATACACACGACAGGCAGGTGAGCTAGACATCAAGTTAGCAGTAAACCATGAATGTAACAGTGCAAGTTACAGTTTGTCAGAACTGCCAGACCAGTAAAGCTATTTTAGTGGCCCTAAGAGACACTGTCTGACATGTTTTGTGTCATCTGGCCCTCAAACTAATTCAAATCAATATCGGCAACTAACGATTGATCGAAGCACCCTTATCTGGAGGTGTTCAGTTCAGAATTCTTACTTGTCCTCAACTCTAGCTGTTTAAAGTAGACATAGCAAGTTACCTGTGTATGATGAGATTTTTATATAGCAGTGGTGCTAATCATTTAGCAGCGGCTAACTGCATATAGGGGAAACACTGCATTATTTAGTTGTAGCCTAGCAGCCACAGAAACAGATCCTAGACTAGGCAAAGAGACAGGCATCTATGATTAATTCTACAGGAATCACTGTTGTAAGCAAAAAATCAAATACCAAGACAGTTAAAAATGGTACGACACTGTGGGTCCTGGATGAGTCAGTGAGAATTATGCCAATAGCGCAGAGAAAGAGGGCGGCATTTCAGGAATTTTTGCTGATATGGGTTTTTGACATAGATGTCAATAAAGACCCATCAAACAAGACAGTTTGTTCTTCTGCCTGATCTATCTATCATTCTTCGGCGTGCTGTGCCAATACCAGCAATGACTGTTTGCTGAGTCGCAATGAACGCACCCTCCCTTTGTCTCACTCACCTACACAGACACTTATTTTCTCTCTTTCCGGGCGGGGACACATAATAAACAAATAGTGCTGACCTATTGCTGTTAGAAAGATCACCAGAGTGTGTCTCTGATCTATGACGCAGCACCACAACAGCTGTGGACTGACTCCCTGTTGCCACAACAGTAGTCACATAGAGCATCCTAAATAACACACGCATGAACATAAAGGTGCACACAAACACACACAGTGATGCGTATCTATCGATACAGACCCACACACACACTGTAAAGAGACATGTTAATTGACAAATTGGATAAGGCTCACTATTACACACGTACACACTTAAGCAGCATTTAAGAGCTGTGGTCGGGCTACTTTTTCTTACTGTTCCACTCAGCGTAAAGGACAAATTTCCCTTGCCATGTGAAATCTCTTATCCCGTGTATCATTGCCATGTGACGGAGGGGAACATTCCATTAAAATTATGTCAACCTTGCAGAATTATGACAGTGTTTTACTGGCTCATGATATATTTTCATCTGCGAACCGACAGACAGTTAATTCAAATATAATTAAACTTCCAAGTGCACCACATTTAACATGTATTACAGGAGGTTGCTTTTCACTGTCAGCGTAGCTGAAGTTGTTCATGCTGCTGACTTTGTGTACAAACAAACAGAACAGTGGTGTAAAGAATGATGAGCATAACTGTGTGCTGTTTTGGTGATGTTAACCTGCATGAGCCTCACAACTACTAGCTTCATTTTAACTGCAGTATTAATGTACAGTACAGGCCAAAAGTTTGGACACACCTTCTCATTCAATGCGTTTTCTTTATTTTCATGACTATTTACATTGTAGATTCTCACTGAAGGCATCAAAACTATGAATGAACACATGTGGAGTTATGTACTTAACAAAAAAAGGTGAAATAACTGCAAACATGTTTTATATTCTAGTTTCTTCAAAATAGCCACCCTTTGCTCTGATTACTGCTTTGCACACTCTTGGCATTCTCTCCATGAGCTTCAAGAGGTAGTCACCTGAAATGGTTTTCCAACAGTCTTGAAGGAGTTCCCAGAGGTGTTTAGCACTTGTTGGCCCCTTTGCCTTCACTCTGCGGTCCAGCTCACCCCAAACCATCTCGATTGGGTTCAGGTCCAGTGACTGTGGAGGCCAGGTCATCTGCCGCAGCACTCCATCACTCTCCTTCTTGGTCAAATAGCCCTTACACAGCCTGGAGGTGTGTTTGGGGTCATTGTCCTGTTGAAAAATAAATGATCGTCCAACTAAACGCAAACCGGATGGGATGGCATGTAGCTGCAGGATGCTGTGGTAGCCATGCTGGTTCAGTGTGCCTTCAATTTTGAATAAATCCCCAACAGTGTCACCAGCAAAACACCCCCACACCATCACACCTCCTCCTCCATGCTTCACAGTGGGAACCAGGCATGTGGAATCCATCCGTTCACCTTTTCTGCGTCTCACAAAGACACGGCGGTTGGAACCAAAGATCTCAAATTTGGACTCATCAGACCAAAGCACAGATTTCCACTGTTCTAATGTCCATTCCTTGTGTTTCTTGGCCCAAACAAATCTCTTCTGCTTGTTGCCTCTCCTTAGCAGTGGTTTCCTAGCAGCTATTTGACCATGAAGGCCTGATTCGCGCAGTCTCCTCTTAACAGTTGTTCTAGAGATGGGTCTGCTGCTAGAACTCTGTGTGGCATTCATCTGATCTCTGATCTGAGCTGCTGTTAACTTGCGATTTCTGAGGCTGGTGACTCGGATGAACTTATCCTCAGAAGCAGAGGTGACTCTTGGTCTTCCTTTCCTGGGTCGGTCATCATGTGTGCCAGTTTCGTTGTAGCGCTTGATGGTTTTTGCGACTCCACTTGGGGACACATTTAAAGTTTTTGCAATTTTCCGGACTGACTGACCTTCATTTCTTAAAGTAATGATGGCCACTCGTTTTTCTTTAGTTAGCTGATTTGTTCTTGCCATAATATAAATTTTAACAGTTGTCCAATAGGGCTGTCGGCTGTGTATTAACCTGACTTCTGCACAACACAACTGATGGTCCCAACCCCATTGATAAAGCAAGAAATTCCACTAATTAACCCTGATAAGGCACACCTGTGAAGTGGAAACCATTTCAGGTGACTACCTCTTGAAGCTCATGGAGAGAATGCCAAGAGTGTGCAAAGCAGTAATCAGAGCAAAGGGTGGCTATTTTGAAGAAACTAGAATATAAAACATGTTTTCAGTTATTTCACCTTTTTTTGTTAAGTACATAACTCCACATGTGTTCATTCATAGTTTTGATGCCTTCAGTGAGAATCTACAATGTAAATAGTCATGAAAATAAAGAAAACGCATTGAATGAGAAGGTGTGTCCAAACTTTTGGCCTGTACTGTATTTACATGTCAATTGTCACAAAGTGGATAATACAAAGAGGAGGAATGTCATAGATCATAAATAATGTAATAATATTACATAATATGATCAACTAGCAAGTTCTGCGGAGAACAATTTTTTAAACTGGTCTAGAATTGAGAGAGACAGCTGCAGCCACAATTTGGGTCCACTAAAAGTGCTTGTTTTTGCCACTGACAGGCTCAGATTTTTAATTTAAGTGTCTGACCACATTATGTAAAGGAACCCCACAGAGAAATCAAATATTTTTCTTTATCTTTCACTGATTCACTCATTCTGAAGTCTCTCAAATGGTGACATGTAGTAGGAAAAACAATAATAAAAATGTTTATGAGATTTGGGGAGAGAAGTGTAAGTGTATCACCGAAATTCTGTAACCCAGTGCCAGACTCTCTTAAAAAATCGTTGCATTTTGTGAGTTGTTGAGTGGTTAGGGTTAGGGTTTAGGGGCTGGGCCACGAATTCTGACAGGTCACAAAATTTGGTGTAATACTGTAAAGAGTTAGCGTTAACTAAGGGCGCATTCACATCAGGATAGTCCGGGGGATTCGGTTCGATTGGGCAGGGAATGCTGAAAAATTTCACTTTCATTTGGTTCGGTTCACCTTCGCACTATACTTTTTAAAGCGGACCAAACCGCCTGGACAACGTCACACAGTTACAACAGCTGCTAGTTCGGGGGCGGTATTGCCTGAAACGACCACAGACCAGGAAGAAAAAAAGCATAAGGTGGAAGAAAACCTGGCTCACCAATTGGCCAGGATGAGAAAAGGAAATCCATCCCCTTCAGCTGACAAATTTATGCATTTATGCACTTCCTCACTACATGACACAACATTTTCCAACTTTTTTTTTTTTTTTTTTTTTTTAACCTCTGCTTCTCCCGGTTTGCACTGTTGGCTTTGGGGTTTTTCTTCTACCCAAAATGCACTGCGCTCCATCACTTCCTCTCTTTGGTTCACTTCCTCTCTTTGATTCGCTGGGTAGTCCATTAGCATTTCCCGCTGTAAGCGAGCCGCACCAGGATTCACTTGCAAGTGAACCGAGACCCCCAGTTTTCAAGCGGACCCGGGTTCGCTCGTTTGGTCCACACCAGAGTTCAAATGAGCGTTCACACCACTCCAAACGAACCGAACTATTCATGGAAGCAGACCAGGGTTCATTTAAAGCAGACCAAATAGCGCCAGTGTGATTGCGTCCTAAAAGATTTTTGGTGTCATGGCTGAATATTCAGCTGATATCAACAATATGGAAAAGTCTGCAAGATTTCAGAACGAGACTTCTCCTTGAACAAGACTTGGTTATTCACACTAACAAACAAAGCAGATCAGCGAAAGGTACGGAAAAACATTTCACTTCTCAATAGGGTCCTTTCCATAATGTTGTCAGACACTTACAATGACAATTTGAGCATGTCAGTGGCAAAAACAAGCACTCTTAATGGACATAAATTGACTGTGCACAATTGCCTGTGGGGATTACACTGCAGCCTGTTTCACCGCCGTCAGCTGCTGGGCTCTCTCTCACTACTGGACCAATTTAAAAAAGTGCTGTCTCTATTATACATTTACACACAAAAACATTGGAAAAAAGGGTTTCCCCTAAGTCACTGTGTCAACAAACTTAATCTCATTGCATTCTAATTATGTTAAATAAACTCTTTCATCAGAGTTCAGTAGGCCCTAGTATAAACTGATGATACATGGATGAACTGTAAACTGTTTCTTCAGTTGAAAATATTTTCCGATGACAGCTATATACAGTACTGTGAGGTCTGTGGATCATCTTGAGTATGTTGTTGCTCAGAAACATGTTGTTTTTGTCATTTTTCTGTCCTTTTTCAGTACAGCAGCAGATAACCCAAAACCTCAGTGAGTAAACTTTCAACTGTGTTTTTGTGATTTTGCTGAACTGACCTTTTAACATACATAGGTGTAACAATACCTGAATTTGCAAGTAATCGAAGGGGGACCTTTAAACAAAAATGTCAGCATGGAAAACTGCTGCAGCAAACCGGGACGCCTTAATTAAAACATAATTATTTTTATTTGCTGCAGCTGTGCCTACCCCCTGTGATGTGACAGTGCTCTGTTGGAAGCACAGAGAGGCTGAGATGTGGTGAAATCTTTTTCAGTCAGTAAGCAAAGATGCTTTTTCAAAGGTGGTGCAGTGGAAATAATTCTGGCATTGGAACAGCTCAAAAAAGTGGGAAAAAATAGACATTACAGTGCAGTCTTACCTTTCCAGGATCTCAGTCAGGAGCAGCAGACCTTGTTTCGGCACCTCCAGGTTGGTCAGCCGCAGAGCCTCCTTCAGACTGCGCACCAGGGACTCAATACCTGAAACACAAACACTCGCTGTGTAAAAGAAATAATTGACTCGACAGACAGAGACACATTTTTCTAATCTTGTTCACTGCCAAAGTTACGAGAGTGCTTTGACTGATGTCTATTAAAGTACAAGGTACAACAATTTCCTGCACTACAACAAGTGACATGTTCATAAATGGAATACATGCACAAAGCACACGAACACACAAAATCCTGCATGTCAAACCAATAGTGGAGAATGGTGCATCTTCCTAATTTACTGATACACAGAATCTGCTGTAATGACCTCATGTTTATACTGAACTAGCACTAGGCCTTAACAGTACAAGGAATAGTTACATTAGATATCCTGTGTACTGGTAAATTGAGTTTATCTCTGGGGTGGAGTTAAAGTGCCACAGGATTAAAGAAAGCCACAGACAGTACAATATGATACAGTATACTTTATTGTGCCCGTAGGGAAATTTGTCTCAGACTCATATGCTGCACACATGACACATGACATATCGTCTTATCATATAGCTGCTTCCATGGTGTAATAAGTAGAACCACAGATAAAGCATTTACTGTAATGGCACACACACACACACACACACACACACACACACAGATATCTGTGTGTCAGGACAGTATTTATTATCATGCATTAGGGATGTAAAATATTGACATTTTTTACCATTATTGGATTACTACTAGGTTTTGTGGTCCATTAGTCAGGCATTCAAATTTTGTTAGATTACAATAGCACCATCTGTGTAATTAATAAAAGTGTACAGTAGCTACCTCTGTTCTGGTAGCAGAAGTGGGACTACTATGGCACTAAGTCATCATCTCAAGTCTTTGCACTCAAGTCCCAGGTCAAGACCCAAGTCCTAAATCTCGAGATTTGAGTCCTAAAAGTCATCAACAAATGTGATGCCATTTTACCAGAGTAAGATATCAAATTTACAAGAATCATGAATTAAGTTTGTTAGAAGTTGTCTTGACTTCGTCTGTAATTGTCAACCCGCATGACTGCAATCCGCCTGGTCAACAAGGGCTGTATTGCTTCAGTGTGGGGAGTGCGTGCAGATGAAAAGTGCTTAGACACACCGGGTGCCCCCATCCCCTGTGCCATGATCAATATGCGTCGCGTTTAGAGTCATCCAGCAGATTTTGGCTGCCAGACAGATGGGGAACTCCAGGAGCTGGAGGGTGCCTTAACACCGCTCATCTGCAAACACTCCCCATGCCGCGGTAGCACAGACCTGGTTAAAAATCACCTAAGTATCCCATGAAGTGTCGACTTCCTGGGAATGAATAGTGTTACTGTTAGCTGAATCAGGGAATGAAACGTAATGCATTGATGTGTGGCACACTTTGGGGGGAAAGATATCAAGTATTTTCACGTCAAGAGACTCAAGTCCAAGTGTACAGCTGAACGCTGGAGACTTTTTTAGGCAACTAAAACATTATAATTAACTTTCATGAACTGAAAACACGCTGAAAAAGTAATGGCTACACCTATACTCCGTGAATCTAGGGTCACGCTGTGGTTACATTACCTAACCAATGTTTTTTGCTGTGGCAGTGACTGTGGCACCCACCTGTCACTTAAAGGGTCCACATCCTTTAATATCCATAACTCTAAGCTTTAATAAAATTTAAACAGATGAGTTACATACACATTTACCCTCCGTGCAGCTGTCATTAATTGGGATTAGCTTCAGAGACCAAAACTATTTTTGTACCAGGCTGGTAACATGTTTATTCCTGCTGTAAAGTTGGGTATTTTAACATGGGGGTCTATGGGGATTGACTCTTTCTCGGGGCCAGCCTCAAATGGCCATTATAGGAACTGCAGTTTTTGGCACTTCCACAGTGGCTTCATTTTTCAGCCCCAGAAGTTTCACAATTGGTCGGAAAACCCATCTTTCCACCAACTGTCCATCAGCAATTATTTTCAGATTTTGAGCGATGTACCACAAAACCCCAAAGTCTAGAAGAGACACAATCACAAACAGACCTAACACACACACACACAAAAGCACAGGGATAACATGATCACGCCTCAGGAATGTTTTCATCTGTCTCAGCTCTCTCACCATAGACAGAGTGACACTGGGAGAAGAAGAGTGGGTCCTCAGTAAGTAACACCAAACAACTGTAGACAGACCACAGCAGCACCTCATTACTACTACTGGCCAGATGGTCGAACAGAAACTCTGTGTGGGAAAAGACGGATGGAGAGAAAAACTTGTGTGAAGGGCTGAAAAAAGAACAGAAAGAGAGAACAGGGAACAATGCTGCAACACTTTAATACTCTGCATCATCATACCACCTCCAAAAACAAATCTGTGTAAAGTTTTCATGCAAATCTAGCCTATGATGACAAAAAAAGATGGTAATATTCTTTTTGAAAGCCCCATCGTATTCTGAAATTCTGGGGCAAGAGAGAAACACAAATAGCTTCCCTACAGTGATGAAGGAATAGGTATAAAAGCAGAGGAGAAAACAACAAAGACAGAGAAGAAGAAAGAGGGATACACAGAGAGACAGCAAGAGAAATAACAAAACGTAAACAAAGCGAGAGAGTAAAAAGAGAAGGCAAAGGAAATTATTTGCAGTAGACAAATCAAAGAGTGCAAAAGCTTGTTTAGCTCACATATCCCAGTGTGTGTGTCTGTGTGTGCACATTACCAGCTATGTCAGCTTTGATGAAGGAAGCACTGCACTGAGTGGCAGAATGAACTAGGATGAATGCAATACACTTCGCACTGGACACCTGCAACGTCTCATCACCACTCAGCAGCAACTGGAACAAAAAACAACACTTTATTTATTGGAATTCACCAATCATTGAAGACATAGCATTCAAGTAGTGTGCAGGGCTTCCACAGTGTTTATAGACATAACGTATGGTTTCTCTAACAATGCCAGACTGCTGCTGACATCAGAGATAAAGAAATATCTTGTCAACTGTCTGGTTCCCATCTTCAGTGCACTGTGCTCTGAACTTTCATGTTATGTTAGTTTATGAATGTGCCAAAAGCTGTCAAATATCTGCAGCATGGTTCTGCATGTAATGTATATCCAGGGCAAACTGTACATGCAATTGAGCCTTTGCTAAGCCCCACCCCTTTTGATGGTCCATGAAGCTGTCAGTTAGCATACAGACCACTGTCACTGACTGCACTCCCTGAAGAAACATTACATAATTTTTTGGAAAAAAGAAAAGGCGATTTCTGAGAGAAGCAGACACAAGGGTCTACAATATGTGCTTGAAGAATATATCCAGGATGATAATCTGACTCAGCAGCGTAAACAGGATAAAATGATAAAGACAGAAGCTAAAGCCTACAGATTACAGACAGGACAGAAGACAGTGAAATAAAAGAGGAACTAATAACTGTGGGAGCAAATCTTAGCAAAAGTAGCATGTGTAGGGGCGTCGGTGGCTTAGTGGTAGAGCAGGCGCCCCATGTACAAGGCTGTTGCCGCAGCTGCCCAGGTTCGAATCCAGCCTGTGGCCCTTTGCTGCATGTCATCCCCCCTTCTCTCTCTCCCCCCTTCATGCTTATCTGTCCTGTCCATTAAAGGCAAAATGCCCAAAAAAAATCTTAAAAAATAAAAAGTAGAATGTGTATACATTCAGTATACCTTCAGTGGCTAGCGTAGCATAGAAGTGCTTTGCATATGCCCAACGTTTAACCACGACTATCTCAAGGCACAGCTGGGTGGAGGAAGGGGTCCGGTTTGGTGACCTCAGAATTGCATCTCTATTTGCAGATCATGTGGTTCTGTTGGCTTCATCACACCGTGACCTCCAGCATGCAGTGGGGCGGTTAGCAGCCAAGTGGTAAGTGGTCAGTATGAGGGTCAGCACCTTGAAGTCTCAGGCCATGGTTCTCTGCCGGAAAACGGTGAATTGCCCCCTCTGGGTTGGAAGTGAGTTACTGCCCCAAGCGAAGGACTTCAAGTATCTCGGGGTCTCGTTCAAGAGTGAGGGTAGAATGAAGCTTGCAATGGATTGGCCGTTTGGTGCAGCACCTGCTGTGCCAGACCATTGTAGTGAAAAGAAAGCTGAACCAGAAGGCAAAGCTTTCGATTTACTGGTCGATCTACATCCCAACCCTCACCTATAGTTATGTGCTATGGGTAATGACCAAAAGAATCAGGTCGCAGATACAAGCAGCCAAAATGAGTTTCCATTGAAGGGATGTTGGGTTCAGCCTTAGAGACAGATGAAGGAGCTCAGACATCTGGAGGGAGCTCGGAGTGGAACCGCTGCTCCTGTTGAAAGGGGTCAGTTAAGGTGGTTCGGGCATCTGATCAGGATGCCACTTGGGCACCTTACGTTAGAGGTGTTCCAGGCCCATCCAACTGGTAGGAGGCACCAGGGTGGACCCAGAACAGGCTAGAGAGATTACATATCTCGTCCGGCTGGAAAGCTGGGGAGAGGAGCGTCTGGAATACTTTGCTCAGCCTGCTGCCCCCATGACCCATCTTCAGATAAGCGATTTAAAAAGGATGGATGGATGGATGGATGGATAACTCAAAATCCACAAAACCTGCCTGAAAATGAAGAAAATCTTAAGTGACTGCATGAGTCTATCCAGCACAGCCAAAAAGTTCTCGGACCCTGCATCAGAGTTGGCTGATAATACGCAAAGGGTCAGTTAGTAGCTTGAAAATGAAATCTGAAAAATTATCAGAATGAGTATCCTTGTGTACACCTGTCAATTCTTAAGATTTCTGATCTCGGTAAACTCCTTTAAGAAATGTCTAAGCCACAAAGATATGATTTATTGTTCTTCTATGATTATGCAAGTCCAGCACTGGGTGAGGCAAAAATATCAACTTCACAATTTGAAGTCCTTATATAACATAACTGATCCATTTTGTCTTCATAAATGAGGTCTATATATTGGAAATTACGAAGGTACACTGAAACCACAGTGATCCCTGAGATGAATACGGATGGATTACTTACTTATAAACTCTTTGCATAAAACCTGAGACTTAGTGTGCTGTACATGAAGTCATTTAGTACCAACAGCAGCAACTAAACAATCCACCATGTGGAAAATTGAAGAAAAGTGGCTAGGGACTCTGCTGTTAGAGTTTGCATGATTTTTTTTACTTGTTTAGTTTTAGTGCAGCATATTTACTGAAGTTTGTCTTCATAAGTGCAACAACACTTAAGGTTTTTTTTTTGTTCTTTTTCCCTTCCAAGTTCCCTGTGGATTTCCTGGAGTTGTATATGATTAAAAACAGTAAATTTATTTAGTAGATTGGATCCTAAAACAACACAATGATTATGTTCTGGGAGGTCATTCAGATTTAAGTGAATGCTTATTTAGTTATGAGTTAGATTTTATAACAACTCAACACAACAGTGAGCTACAAAAAAAGGAAAAAAGGAAAAACCCCTCTGACATCATGAGCTGTGCTGTAATGTGAGTCATAACTGAGAAAATCTAACTAGATGTAATCTACACATTGATTTCCCAGACACGAAGCACAAATATTTGTCCAGGGGCAAAGCCTCCCTGAACCACTATTCAAAGGCACATTAATCCAGGATAAGAACTTCTTGTTATGATTATCGTCAGCGTCAGAATGCTGGTCTTGGGGGTGGGAGCAGGATGTTTGGACAGAGACCTTTTTCAGTATGAGAGGCAGAGGGCATTGGTCAGGGGACTGTTGCTCTTGGTTTTGGCTGAGGGTCTGGCTGTTGTTGGTGTAGCTGTTCTGGTTCTCATGGCACACGATCTGCTCTCCAGGGCAGTTCATCAGAACTGACACCGCCTCTCCCTGCTGCAACAGCCGCCACAGCAGGCCTAACAGATAAAAGACAAGGTCCAGAAAGCAATTAATGAAGACAAAGCTCAACATTCTGCAAATCTAATATATACAAATCCTAACAGACTAATCACAAGGTCCTAGACAAGACAGGGGGATAAATTCTTTCATGATGATTTGCACTTATAAACATCAGACAACTTCTACAAAGATAAAACACTGTGGTGAAGAGATTTTTCTTACTCACATTTTGATTATGAAGAAGAAAGAAAATACAAACAAGACAAAACCACAACACAAGAACAGTATGTCAGAGGTTACAGACAAGATGATATAAATATAATATACTTCAGAGATCAATCTTTCTTGACCAGACTTCTCCGTTGTACTTATAAGGTTCAAGGTTCCTTTACTTTGTTCTGGCTTTACATCTTGAATAGTCAAACACTCCTTAAACAAAATGTCTCTTACTTTTATAGTCTTTTATGAGTGTACACGGTCCAGCTAAGCCAAGGGTGTCAAACATACAGTTCGCAAACCAGAATTGACTTGCCAAAGGGTCCAATCTGGCTCACTGGATGGCTTTGCACTCCTAATATTGATGCACTTGTGAAGGCTAATGGGTCTTTCTTTATTTTTACAACTTTATTTTATCAGTGTTTTCAGGTTAAAGAAGGAGAAAAAAAAAAGCTTCTCCATCCAGTGAATTTCGTTAATAATTGCAATCCAGTCGTCCTTTGGGGGCTTGCCTGTAGCCACCTCCGTGCGATGGCTTTCTTGCTTGCAGCCAAAAGTACTTTGTAAAGGTATTTATATCTATTAAGAGATTGTCTGGGATTTTGCCCAAGTACAATATGACAAAAGAACAATCAACTTCTATTCCAAAGATGATCCTTATCTGGCAATCTCTTGCCAATATGGATAAATAAGTGGGCATCCCCAAAAAATATGACAGTGGTCTGCCATTGATTTACCACATAGCCTCCAACATTCATCCCAGCCCCAGGGGATAAATTTAGATTTTGGAGTCAAAATATCGTATTATGTTTTTCCAGCAGAACTCCCACCAGGATCTTGAATTGGTGGTCCTAGTTTGACTCTCCCAAATATCATTCCAATCATCCTCAGATATCTCCAGACCTGATGCCCTCTCCCATTTCTGTTTGACCTGCTAATGGGGCTTTCACACAGCCACACGGTAACTCGCCGCCGCCAATCATTTCAATGAGGGCAAAGCGGCAGAGGGGAAGCAGTTTCTAACATGGCCATAGGTGTATGAAGCAGTTCACCGCCCACGTGCCCACACACAGATTCTGCTTTGCCGTATGTTGAACTCCTGGCAATTGCCCCCTGGCTTTGGCCGCTCACACAGTAGGCATCACAGAAGCAGAAAGACATGATGGAGGAGCTGATAATGTTGGTGTCTGAATACCAAAGAGTTAAGGCACTGCAAACTTATAAGGACAACCAGTAGAAAAACTGAGCCTGGGATAAAATTTCCACCAAACTTCAGATGACTGGTAAATTGTCCAAATATGTAGAAATGTTTTCTTCATACAACATGCAGCTACAAGCAAGCTTGTAATTCTGCCAGTGCTCACCTGCCTGTCACTGTAGCCATGAACTACAGCGGCAGCAGACACTTTTAGAAATGCTTTGCCTTTTGGGGGAACACTCTTGCAGGTGGGTGGTTGTCAGGGCGGTTACCATGCAGTGGTGTGAAAGCAGTTTAAGAGGTGCCAGGTTTCAGGAGCAAGTTTAACAGTGAGCCACCTGCTTCATGTAATGCAATGCATATGTAAAGATACTGAACATTGTGCAAAACAAAGTTAATTAGCAGCTTCATAACATAAGAACGCCTTGATAAGGCACTGTCAAAACTTTAGATTTGTAAATGGTTTGTAAAGTAGGGGATAACTTAACCTGCTTCCTTTAAAGTTTCCACTTGAGTTCCGTGAAAAACTGAGATCTATTGTTAAAATTGCACTTATTTTTCTTAAGACATCTCAGGTTTTTCACTATTTGTTTTGTAAACGTTTGAATGTTATCAAAATGTACTTCTTTACATAAGAAAAAGGGGAAAATTTGGATGTGTTGTTATTTATAGGTTATTTTGCAACGTTATTACTGGTCGAGCCCACATCAATTTGGACTGCATGTGGCCCATGAAGTCTGACACCCCTGATCTAAGTCATTGGGCCCTATTTAGATGGTCTAAAGCGGACGGCGGAGGGCGCATAATCCATGTCGCAAGTGTCATTGCTATTTAGATGCAGGCACAGTTGTCATTTCACGCCCTGCGCCCTTGTCGTCTAACTAGCAAATGAACTTGCGCTTCTCTGGGTGTGTTGGTCTAAAAATGAGGAGTGGTCAGGCGCAGTCATGGCACGTTGCTAGTTAGATGACGTAAAAAGCAAATGCGCCAGTGACCAACAAAAACCTGGTCTAAAGTTAACGGCGCAGTATTTCGCTGTTAAAAAAGTTAGTAATATGCATCTCTAGGCGGGTGCAGAACGCGCGTGCACTCTGCTCAGACACACACACGGAGCAGCCACACATATGCAAAAGATAACAAATAAAAATATGATTACAATGTGAAAGGTTATTATTGTGCACATTAAAATATTTATCAGAAACACGTCTTAATGGTCAGTCATTAATCAGAATGATCTGAGCCTGTAAAATGAACCTGTCTTTCCCAAATGAGTTGTGATCATTTTGGCATGTAAATCACAAAATCAAAGATGTGAAAACATTTGATAAACTTTATTATGACATAAACACAACAATAACCAGCTTCTGTGAACTAAAAACGTAAACTTACAGCCCTACAAGTACAAATGTATATGTAAAAAAAAAGCTTTTAGAACGTAAAACTGAAGATCATCTTGTCAGGAGGAGGAGGAGGAGGATGACCCCAGCTCCGCAGCCAGCACGCAGCCAGCACGCAGCCAGACCAGACGGGCCCGGGTGCAGCCACGGGACCAGCCCTTCCTGCACCTTCAGGCGGGGGGGTTCAGGATGCTGGAGAGGGAGCTGGGCTCTCTAACCTCCCAGGTTAAAATAAAATAAATTGAATAACTTACAATTTGTTGACAGCGTTTCTCTTGTGCGCGTGCGATCTCTTTCTCTCTTGCAGTCTCACTCTGTTTCTTTTCTTTTGGCTTTTCTAAGATGACAGATGCTGAATATATACTCCCTATCTGATGCTGTGGCTGTTTGTGGCTGGCTGAGAGGGATGTGAACTTATTAGTTTGCAGCTGTGTTACTGTAATCAAATCAGGTTGGGTTTCCATTACGCGTGCCAAACGGTGCCAGTCCCCTTTGATCTGTCATCAGATGTGACGGGACAGTCAATATAGAGATACATTTTTCGTCTCCTCAGCTGTAAAACGGTCACTCTTTCCAGTTGGTAGGTCCGCCATCTAACTAACTCTCCGCCATGCGCTCCAATTGCGCCTCTTTTAAAAAGGAATGAGAGGTGACACTCTGATTGGCTTATTGAATGATACGCCCAAAACACACCCATGACTAATTCACAGAGTAAGTCCAACCCTTTTAGACTCTCCGCCATGGCGCACAGTCTGAAAACACGCTGTCTAACTAGCAAATGACTGGGACACGCCCATGCGCCGCACGCCTGGCGCTTTGCGTTTAGGACCATCTAAATAGGGCCCTTAATCTCTGCAAAGCCCCTGCAGGGCTGAGGCTGCACGTCCCATCATTATCCGTCCTATGAAGTCCTTTAGCCAGAAATTCAAACAAAAAAATGACTTACTTTTCGGCCTTACTTTTCAGTTCATAAGGATGATCTTTTTCACTGAAAGGAATGCCATAGTCACACGTTTGGGCAAAGTGATATATCCGCATTTAATATTAAACATATTTTTGATTCCTTCCTGAAACTGTCTTATTTCTGTGCAATGCCATAACATATGTATTAAAGATCCTCTCTCCACCGCCATGTCAAAATAGGTCTGACATATTAGAATTCAGTTTAATCAGCTTTTATGGAGTTATGTATATGGTATAAAATCTTTATCTGTATAAGACTCAAACACCTTTTGAAAAGTAATTTGTGCTGTACGTCACATTATAGTGTCCTTTTATCCAGTGGTGGGTGTTTTCTAAGATCATGATCCCATTGTAATTTAAATGTATCCATGCAGAGAGATATAAGTCTGTAAAGTTAAGACACTGTGCCTCTATTTATTACAATCTTTTCCAGTTTATTATCTGTTTCTTTATTTGAGGCCAGTATACAGTAGCGCCTCGAGATATGAGTTTCTGCAATACAGATTTCAGCCGTAGATACTACAGGTGGGGAGATTCGTCACAATCTGTTTGTATCTGTGATCATGAAAATGCAGAGTGCGTCTTACCAAAGTATGGCATGAATAAAATATGATCATTTTGACTTACATACCGTGGCCACTTGTTAATCAGAGTTTAAGAAGTCAGGTAACATTAAGTCCTCATCCCTCATTTGGTAGAAAAAAAGGAAGAGACCTTGTGAAAGATCAGCATGACAAAAAGCAGATGAATATACAGCTAATAATGATAAACATCAACCATAAGGCAGAGCCCAAAGTCCATTCAAGCGTCATACTACCACACTGACGAGCACAGAGGCATGTAAGTCCACTGAGGCCCTTCATTACCCTGTTGTAATAGCAGAAAACTGATTTAAGTTTCACAAAAGGATATTAGGACCAGAACATACTGTACACAAATCCAAACCCAAACGCACAATGCAATAAAAAGTAATATAATTAGCAATTAAATGTTGCCCAGCTGCACAGCTTTTCTTTTCCTTTCCAGCCATCTGGAGACAAAGTAATAAAACACAACACAAAAAAATCATTTTTAAACATTATAAAAAGCATATTTCTTTTCATGGAAATGCCGTTAACACTCTGTTTATAATACAGCAGTGAAGAAGAAGAATAATAATCCTGTTAAATTCCTCCATGTTGTTGTTCTCACCGGGGCTGGTGAGGGTAAGCTTATTAAGATTAAATCAATTCAAAATAACACAAACAACAACAGTAAAAGCTCAACTGCAGCTACACTAAAAGCCAGAGCAAACCAACCTCGCACCTCTACTCCAAGCACACAGTGGATCCCACCTTTCTCCAAAGTTAATATGGTGATAAAACAACTCCAAATTTCTAGGGGATAATGACTCTATTTCCTTTTCAATAACTCCACTGTGGTTATCACCCGCTGCACATGCTGGCAAGCTTATTATCCTTATAACTCAAAATTTATACAAGATAATAACTCTTTCATCTCAGTATAATCCCTCGTCTATGTCCATCTTGCCTCACTCTTAAGTAGATTCTGGATCTTCACTGAGAAAGATGATGATAAATGTGTTACTTTATGACCTGTTAGCTTTTTCTAATTAAAAAACAGCTTTATAATATTATCAATGACCCCTACAAAGGAGTGGAAACATCTTATGATAAGACATTAGTTGATTGATTCACTTTGGTTCTGACAAATTTCTTAAAAGTGACTATTTTTGCATAAAAACCTGACGTGAAACAACATAAATGCCACCAACGCTATTACATCTTTTACTTTTCTTTTTAGTCCACACCCCTATTAGCCGTCATCCTTACTCTCTCCCAGGCAGCTGGGAGTGAAGTTATGTTTCATACATTTCAAATGACATAATAGCCTTTCCTTCAGACTGTCACCAAACTAGTTGCTGATGTGCTCAGCTCCAAAATTTCATCCATTTTTAATAACATCTTTCCTCTATCTCACAAACTGTATTTTTCATGCTAAGCATGCTGTACTGATCTCAACAACTTCAAACCTTTAGATGACAGAAACTCAATCTCACTAGTGCCTAATAAATCTAAATGAGGCCAATAATTTTTCATCCAGGCAGCTAACGATGCTCTCATACAGTTATTTTGAAAAAGTACATTTCTACAAAGTGGAAAAAAACTGGCTCAAAAGTCACAAAACTTATGGTCATGAAAACTTTCAGCTCATGATGAATATTTTAATTTAAAATATATTCTAGCTTTGCTCCAGACAGCTGAATAAACTCAACAAAAGATGATTTTTTTTTTCTCACCAACGCAGTTGTTGATGAGCTGGGGGGAACCGGCATTGGTTAAGGTCTGCAGCAACAGGAAACACACTCTGTCCCTGATGGCAACGGGCAAGGACTGGGTTGCTGAGCCCCCAGTTGTCTCGAACAGTTTGAGCCACACATACAGGACCGAAGCCTTCAACACTTCATCTGGGTGATTCCAGGCCGAGCACAGGTGTGCCAGCAAGGACACTGGTGAACAGAAATGGGAGACAGATGAGTAAACACAAACAAAGGAACTAGTAAGGAATAAAAGATGAGGATAAATACATGATCAAGTGGGGAAACTGGGTTGGTGCAACCACAACAAATATCTTACATATAAATACAACAAATCAAGTAAAGTGTGTTTAATCTACCTGTGTGTCTCACAGATACCCATATCGTAAGATTAGAGGGAGCAGACAAAGATTCCCAGAGGAGCGTTTAAGGAAATATATTGTGAGGGAAGCGCAGATTAACAGACAACAATGAGAGCAGTGAGACAACAACATGGAAATGGTGCAAACCACAGGGAACAAAGTGTGTTTGTGAGTTTCACCTGAACAACCTCTTTAGCTATGACAGACAATGGCAGAGCCAACACTGGAGGGAAAGTTGCCATGAAGATGAAAGGATTGAAGATTGGCTACTGAGGAGACGGCACAGTAAAATGGCAGGCGGAAGAAAAGGAGATTTAAAAAAAAATACAAAGTGGTGGGATAGGAGTCTCTTCTCTGAGCCAGAGACTCCCAGGTTGGCTCTCTGACAGAGACAGCATGATTTAGATTCACAAGAAGGGAAAAGAGAAAGACAGAGAGACACTTATGGAGAGACTGATGGTGCGAAAGAGAAGATAAGAAGAGACAGGTAGAGGTAGAAAGGCTGAGTTAGTGAAAGAGAGGAAGCCGGAGGATGAGAGAGTATGAAACAGATGCAAGGAGGGAGAGCCATACACACATTCAGCCACAAAAAAAGAGGAGTAAAGAGAGACACAGATGTAAGATGTAGAGAGACAGAATTTACAAATACATAAACAGCGTGATGAATAAGTTGCTGCTAATGGGCAACAGCATTTGTGTGCATGTACAGTCCTTGACCTTAGATTAACAGAGTTAGCCTCTTTAATATTACTACTGTTTTTGCACTGAAATGTCCGAAGAAGCTGTGCCTATCAAATGAAGATATTTAAGTTCAGGCTGACAGAAAACACAGATCCAATCATACAGCCCTTAAGGCCACAGTATCTTCTAAATAACTAGAAGGGCATTCACAGAGCACAGACCTCTGCTAAGGCCTAATGCCCTATTTAGCAATGTTAACAATTCAGATCTGCTTCAAATTTAATGGATTCTTACTTGCTCATGCTGTACCCTTCCACCTAGTTTCATGATAATTGGCAAATGGTTTTTCCATAATCTTGCTGATAGACAGACACAGGACAAACCAACAGTCAAACAAACCAACCAAATCACATAACCCTGTGGGCTGAGGTAATTACAATCTCTCTGAAAACATGAACTGAAAGAAGTGACATTAACTACTGGGGCTGTGGTGGTTTGTGTATTCGTGCCAAGCTGTCACAAAACAGGAGTTATGGTTCAGTGCATGTAGCCGCACGCAGAATACACGGTATATAGGCTGATGCACATAATGCAGAACCAAAGTTCACACGCTCTAGTTCCACCCAGAAACTTATATGTATGCTAACAGCATACATAGGCAACTGGAATTGATTGAATGATGAGAGTCTTCAAGAAACTCAAGCAAGTCCCGTTGCCTACGATACAGCACTTATGATTGTGCTGAGGTTAAAACAACAAGCTGATTGGCGTGAAGTCAGTCAAATGAAACGCTGAAGCGCGACCTGCCTGCAGGTTCCTAAGAAGCTACGAGAGCAATGGAGAGCGAGTTGCGTATAAGACGAGGATGATGCGTCGACGTTGCTCTGTAGTTGCAGGGTTTGTAATTGGAAACACAACCACTATGCTAACGAACATTCAAAGGCTCAACCAGATTCCTGGGCTGAGGAAAAAACTATTATGAAAATAGTTCACCAAAGTTGCCAGAGTACAAAATGTTACCCCTTTTCCACCAACATTTCCAGGAACTTTTATTACCAGGAATTTATTTACCTGGGTAAAAGAATTCCTGGTAATCTGTGTGGTTTGCATTTCCACCACACCTCAAAGGTCTGGGAAATTTATTCAAATCAGGCTGATGACGTAGATGATTCGGTGTGTGCCCTATATTTAGCTACACCACCTTGTTGCCTGGTAACATGGTAACATTAGTGCTGGTAGAGACTGGAGCGGCTGTTTCTCTCGGGTCCATGTCATTGGTTCGACAGTCCATTGGTTCGACATCCCATTAGTCCGACTGTCCGCGGTGCTGAATGGCTCGCGGCGGGCGTATAGTGCACCGCGACTGGCTTGTGGAGCAGGCCCACGGCTTATGTGTTTTCACTTTCTTTTTCATTTTAACCCACACCATGATCTTTTCCTGACCCTAACCAAGTGGTTTTTGTGCCTAAACCTAACCAGATCTTAACCACAGGGCATCATGATGATTTCGGAACGGACTTCGGAACAATGAGTTTAATATGGTCGGAACAATGGGATGTTGAACCAATGGGCTGTCGAACCAATGCGCAGTTCCCGTTTCTCTCAGCCAGCAGCTAAGTTTAAAAGTATTTTAAGACAAGTGACAAACTCAGTTAGTCTACATACAGCCAGCTGTCATTTGAGCTTATTATTGTGCATGTATATGGAGGAGTTCAGCGCCGGCACAAAAGACCTGATACCATTAGCACTTATCAATACAACGGTCTTTGATAGTTTCGTCCCGGTACTAATTTAGTCCCGAGTTTCGGTACCTATCCTTAATCAAGACACAAACAAAGTGAAGGTTGTAGAAATGAAATAAAGTTTGAAGCAGCTGCCCGTACCAGGAAGTGCGGAACGCTGCAACTGTGTGTGTTCCACCAATCAGCGTTCTTCAGCAAACAGCCCCACCCCTCAAGAATTACGGGTAATCTGAAAAGTCCTACCCCCCTACTAGGTACTTTTTCAGGGAAAGTTTGGGGTTTAGGGAAAGTTTTTTTACGCGGGTAATTTCGGTGGAAACGCGCAGAGGTGGTTCAAAATCCCGGGTAATTGATAAAAGTTCCTGCAATGCATAAGGGGCTTTGTCTGTCGTTGACACTTGCACTACTGTTTGCTTTTTTTATTTTGCTCAGTGAACAAATGGCAACTTTCTGCCAATGACCACATCCCCAACAGTAGGGACCGAGGTCAAAGTATAGGCCTACAGCAGCACAGTACTGTATAAAAGGACGAAATGTGCTGGCACAGTGGGGAAAAATAAATTAAGAACCCAGCTTTGTTAATCAGGGATACCATAACCTTGGGCGTTTACATGACAGCTATAATAAGTACTATATTTATGTGGCTATTATCAAATTATAAGAGTGCAAAAGCTGGGACTAAATAAGGGTACACACAATGGAAGATCAGGCACAGACAGAGGGAGAAAGAAGTGGCAAGAGTGAAGAAAGATAGGAAACAAGTATGAAGAGCATCTTTGAGAAGAGAGGAATAAACAATGTTTAAGTGTGGGGCAGTGCTGGAGGTGAAAGGAGACAGAGGAACAGAGAGTCAGCGAGTGTACAACAGAGAGAGAAAGAGATGACAGAGGAGGAGAGCCAAGCCCAAGCCCAGCTGCTCTGTGAAGCAGATCAAAACCCATGTGAGGCAGGAGAAGCTCCCAGACATGTTTGATTAAACCAAAATATATGAGGCGGCCAAGATGAGAGCCAGGCATATAGAAAGAGAAGGAGAGAGTGAAGAAGGAAGAGGGGGAGGAGGGAGATAAGACCTCCTCAAACAGCGGATGGAAATGGAAGGAACACAATTTAAGAGTGGTGAAAGAACGGGTGGAAAATAAAAAAGCTTTACTGCTGTTTAACACCACATTTTATGACGCGTGCACACAAACACGGAGACAGACGCACAAAGGATGGAAAGAAAAAAGATGAAACGTTTCTCTTTGCTTTCTTTAACAGAGAAAACCAGAGGTTCATTTCCGTTTGCCTTGTTTACTGTTTCTTAGCCCCACTGTGACGCTGTGAACCACCACTCTCTGTTCAGCTTGTGATCTGCTTTCTACAGTATTCCTCTGTTGTTCTGCACTCTTTGCTTCAGCCTGCTTAACTAAACCTTTCTCTGGCTTGCTCTGTGGCTTTTTACCCTTTCAGCTTGTAGCGTTTCCCACATATAAAATGCGTTTCTTTGGCCGAACCAAACACCCACCCTCCCTTATTAGAGACACTATGTCCTTAACAACTTAACTGTCGGATATGGGGGCTCTGACCATCCCGACCTGTCAGAAACACTGCAGCCTGCACCATTATGCTTCCCCTCCCTTATCATCCTTGCCTCCTCTTTCCTTATCTCATTAATGCTTCATCCCTCCGCCCTGCTCTCTCATTTTGTCTGTATCCACTCCTCAGTCAGGACCTAAGGGAGTAAGACACCAGCAATGCAGAAATGAGAGAGGGAGGTGGAAGGAGAGAGTGAATAAAAGACAGATTCAGACAAAGAAAAGCAAAGGGGTGAGAAAACTGAGAGGTAAATCAGTGAGATAGACCGGCAGACAGCGAGTCACAGAGAGAGCGAAATGTGTCGGATGCTCTGGGCTCGTGTTGTCATTGCCGCACTGCTGTCATTAGTCCAAACAGCTCCACAGAGACTTGTTGAGTGACAGGCCACAGACAGGCACACACAGTCAATAGTGGCAGCCCACATCTTGCATCAGCATCGCAACAACCCACTGCTACCTTTGGCTATTCAGGGGAGCTTGTAAAACTCATGAAAATACATAGGGAGGTGGACACACGTAGCATAGCAAAATGCTGCCTGCTTATTTGGCACAAGGCTCGCATTGCCTGTAAAAACAAGCACTCAGGGGTAACACAAACACACTACAACACACACACACACACACACACACACACACACACACACACACACACACACACACACTACATTGAAGTTGATTAACGAGGCCCTTTAAACAGAGTGCCGTAATGGTTCAGTAAGTAGACAGACATCATACAGGTGGTTGTAGCGGAGATTAAATTTGTGCGTGTGGGAGGTGTGGTGAGTTGTTGTTGTTCTGCCTCTACACTGCAGAATTGTACACAGATATGAAGATACAAATATATCCATATATATTGGGATTTCAGGAGAAAGGTTGGATAAGCATGTATTCGTAACTTTTGCAGCTTTTTTATTTTCAGCGAGAGCTGGCCTGGGATTGGCAATGCAGATAGAATTTTAAGTATGAACACTGCACGGTTATCTCAATGCAGCTGGAGCGTAATTGAAAAGGTCATAGCAGCTAGAGAGATTGAATTGAGAAAGTGCATGGGAAAGGATATGAAAAATACAGTTTTGTGACTTTTTTCCCCATTTCTCAGAGGCAGAAGGAGTGGAATTGGGTACAGCACAGGGAGGACTATTTCTAAAGTGGACACAGTACAACCATTTCTATGCATTAGTGATATTATTGAAAAGGTCAAAATTGTGGATATCCGTGCGCAGAGGGAACAAGGGATGCTGCAAATTAAATATTCTTTCATATCACATTCTTCCGTTGGAGGTGAACTGTAATATTTCTAATATATTTCCGGATCTCAGCTTTCAAGGTGAATTGCCCCTGCATCTCATTATTTTTCTTGCCAATTTTTTTAGGCGGCGCAGTGAAGATACACATGAGAGATGTGACAGTATGATGAGCTATCTGAGATTTAACCTCATCCTAACTCACTTGCATTTTTAAAGCTGTCCCAAGTACTTCTTTTATAATGGATTCTCTATTCCCTCAAACAAATATGTAACTCTCTAAATGTCATTCTGTCAGTTTCTAAATAAGCAAATACATCACCCTTTTGTCAAGTATTAATACTTAACTGGGCAGAATGATATGAATTGCTGACATTTCCTAATACAATGGCTGTTTATCACCTGCCCTCAAACAAAGCAATGTCAACACCAAAGTGGACTCATATTTTTGGTGCTTTTTGCAGACTGATATAGACTATAAGTGCCACTTTATGAGAGCAAAGCAATACACATGAAAACATAGTGCTGTTTCCCTTTGTACACCAGTGCTCATTTAGCTGAGAGATGTGAATGTGTGTGTGTTGAAGTGTCTCACCGTACTGAGTCACCAGTCTGTGAGCCACACTGGGGACTGCTTCCACTAGCCTCCCCAGGAAGTTGAAGGTGTGCTGAAAACCTTTCACATTGGGCTGGTCATTCAGCTGCACAGGGAAAATGAAAAATCAACAATAGATATACAACAATGAATAGGAACTTGTCTGGATGAACATGGCTAGGCTGTCCTCATGCACGTTAATTCATTGGCCAAGATATCCGGTACACAGAGTCTACAATATTGTAAGCAGAAATGAGCAAGTATTACAAAAGATAACTAAGACAAATGACAAAACATAATGCTGATGAGAAAAACAGTGGTGGTCGGTGCACATTTACTTATGATGTATTATGTAGGGTTTTCAAAATCACCTTTTTGGGTCAGCACAACAGGCATAAAAAATGTGACTTTTACTATGATATTACAGTGTTAACACATATATTTACAAACAAACTTCCACTAAAAATTTCCATAACTTGTCTATTATATTTTACCCCATTTCAATGACTGAATTTAAGGAGTTTAAAATGAAAGAATGGGTTAATGCAATGGTGGAAATAGCATCTTACGAATGTATGCTCGGTCTAATAAATGGTGATCAGGAGAAAATGTATCTCCTTGGGACCGGTTAACCAGTAACCCTATTGCTGTGAGGCGACAGTGCTAACACGCTTTCCAAACATTTGCAGAAAAGCAAGTTGCTAACGCTTGCTAAAATTTCCACCGCTGTTGCATGCCAATAATCCGGACCAGCACATACGTGACTTCACATATGTCAAGGACACGCCCATTTTTGAGGGATCGAAAGCCAAAGATCCTGTAGTTGGCCTGCAGACATGACTAGTAACTGTTTGGCGATCTTGTGTGAACAAGGTCTTGCCCTGTCAATGACGGGGTGAGGAAAGTCAACGACCCAACACAATGGCTGAATATTGCTTGTCCAAATATCTATACATGTACAGAGATCCTGATCACAATAGCTGGTGATTCAACCATTAAAAATGTATATTTGATTAAATAAACAGGTGTTGTTATGCTTAGTGTTGTCTATAAATAACCCCCGTTAATAGCCAACTGTTTGACCTACAGGCTGAGATTTAGTTGGAGACAACAGTGTGGTCAGTGCGATACTACAGCAGCCTCCCACTCTGGCTAACGTTACGACACTTTAACAGTAGCACAGCACTAGATTTAAAATTAGTAATACAAGGAACATATTTTGCGTAACGTTAGACATGTTTTGGGATTTATAGGAACATGTTTTAAACAAAAACAATGTACATTCAAACATCTTCCAAGCCATTCTGTTATTTCCAAACTATTTCCAGGCCCATAAATCACTTCTTCGAAACACTTTACTTTTTAAGGAGTTTCATGACCTTGGGAACCGTGTATTAATTATTCTTTTAATTTACGTTACATTAAAACAAACGCAACTACACGTACTACAACACCCCAACGTATACTCAGATCACTGTATATTTTATTCAGGGACACATCCCTGTAATTCATTTTTTACAACTCTGGAAATAAACCTGCTTCTTCTTCCAGCAGTCAGTTTGCACTAAAAATCTGAATTCTCAACAGAGGGCTCTAAAAATACATTTTCTTTAAAACGTTCTTATCAGACTAATCAGACATGTCTACACCTCTACCTTGTGCTATACCTCTCTGTCATCATCAGTTTACACAGCTTCTCTGTTTTCCACCTGCAGCAGCGGCTGCTGAATGAGGCTTTTCCACTACTGCCTCTCCCAGAGGTGACACAACAGTAGCAAGAGGGAGACAAGCACACTGTCTGTTTACTAAACAACCCTGGGAGGATATGTTGTCGATTTCACAAGTGCTGTTAAATATTTTACGATGTCGATCCATGTTCTGTGCCTGCATGTGTAAATGAGCAGGTGTGTTTCTATATATGTCTGTAAATGTGTTTGCCTCACCTGTTTTTGTATCTCATCCAAAACAAAGCGATATGACAGCTCACTCTGGAGCTCCGAAAGCAGCTGAACCAGCACTGACACACACAAACACACACAAATGCATGCATTTACACAGACAAAAAAAACATCAAACAACAAACACAGAGACGCATTCATTAAATAAACATCACAGTTCGGTACAGCTTGCCACTTTTCTAGGAAAATCTCTGCAATTATGAGAAAGAGGAAAACTAAATATCAGTTCAAGGTATTTATAAATTCAACATCAATGAGTAGCCTAATCAGTGTTTATTTTGTAAGCAACTGTGATAATACATGTTGTGCCTTAGGGCTCATGAGACTTGCTCTGATGTTTTTATATTCTACCAACAGTCCACATTGTTTCTGATGTCACAGCCCTTAGGACAATATGCAGGTATACCTCTCAGCTAAAACCAAAGCTCTCTTTGAGTTGATTGCTTGACTGATGTTAGAAAGGTTCCAATCCCTGGCTTGTTTTCCCCTTCTTTGTTTCTCCTCATACATACATTAAGACTGTATTATTTATAGGGCTCAGATGTGTTTCATAATGTGTTCTTCACACATTCCCTGTGCAAAGAGCAACAGCAGTGTCAAAATTTAAGCACTCTACTAACTATTACAGCAAAGTGGTCCCTTGGGCATTTTAAGACAGCTACCATAAAATCATTCTGTCATTTGCACTTAGCAAAACATTTTTGCATTTTGAAAGACTTTGCCGCAGTGAGACAAATCTGACTGTGCGCTAAAAACAGCTAGTTCGTTGAGAGGCCAACGTCTGACAAATTCTGCATATGGCAGCTTACACTGATCATTAAATATAAAGAGAAAAGGTACTGCAGAGTGCAGCATGGAGAGAATATCAACATGTGAAATGAGGTCAAAGCCTTCAAAAAATGTTAAGTTTAGAAACTGGTATGTGGAGTCATTGTAGGATCACCTTAGTAACCATTATCACAGTCACAAGGAGTTCTTGTGTAAGTGTCTTTGAGATAAAAAGTGACTCACAGCCTATGCGTGCGAGTGTGTGTGTGTGCACTCTCACACTATCTGCATTATAACACTTACATAAAATGTCAAGTGTGTATGTTTATGTGAGTGTAATGTGAGTAGGGGTGTATGTATATACGCGCGCACACACACACACACACACACACACACACACACAGTATCCAAAACACAAAGAGGCATCTTTTCACCTTGGTCAACCTTTTCCAGAGTGGCTGGGTCCTCCACAGTGTGAAGCATCCCTGGGGACAGAACAGTAATGAAAGGCTAGGTTTAAACAGCACAATCCCACTGCAACGTACAGAGATCTCACAGAGGTGTTATAAAAAAAGGAAGCTACATAATGAATACTCATACTATATTAAAGAAACTAACTAGGTTAAGAAGTATGGTAGCTTGACAAAATAGACTATACAATTACAAAAATAAAGGTCTAACTGTTCAGACTGTACAGTTTGTGCTAGAGGTCACCCAGTTTATCGGTTTGGCTGATTAATTGCCGCAGCTAGGGTGTGTCACAAGCTATCGTTATTGGCCAAATGGGCTGTGTATCACCAATTGGAGCTGAAAACGAGAGGAATGTGTTAAATCGAGCAAAAAGGAGCTTGATCAGTGGGTGCAGCTCCAGATAAAGCACAGTCCCCTCTGCTATCTGAGTGTGTCAAAGTATATTGTTCTTCATTTTAGCATACTGACATTGATCTTTTGGCGGGCTGTAGAGTGCTACAGGACTGATATTTATTTGTAACACCCCCGGTTCCCTCAGCAAAAAGCCAATGGGATTCTTACACTGGATTTCAGATTATTGCAGAAAACTAAAGTTTATAACACTTGCACATTTTGTTCAGCAAGATAATCTTAACAAATAAACAACACTGCCATTAATGCAATCCCCAGAAGTAAAAAGGTAAAGTTGGGATATAAAGGAACTACTCCACAGTGGCATGACTTAACATCGCCACCACAACAAGGCGGTTAAGTCGTATTCCCTGTGATGACGTTCTGTAGTCTCATTTAGCCACTGCATAGTAACCATGTTTTTTAAGAAACCATGAAGGCTTCAAAATTCAAGTGGGGTATTTACTGACATACTTCATGTCGTAGAACACAATGTGAAAGCCTCTTGTGTTAACCACAGACCTTACTTCAGGCATCCAACCAAAAACCCATTCAAAAAGCCCCATTGACTTTCAGACAAGACAACCAGGAGTGCAAAAATGCCAGCTCATTTCAGGGTTTAGGACTCATTCCTGCAGCCCACTATTGCACTAGAGCGAAAGTCTGTGACTGAGTGAAGTGCTGTCACTTCCTGTTCCAAAATCAAAATCCCTCTCGTGTCTCACACACAGCTTTAAACTAGGTCTTGACCTACTCTTGCTTTTTTATGTTTTATGAATCAGGGGAAAAGTATTCTGAGTATTTTGAAAACACAAATTACTCCATTCTTAAGAATCTTGTTACAGCTTACTTTGATATTTTGTTCCAGCCTTGTCAAATAGTAATTACAAAATGCTCAAAAATAATTGAAATACGCATTTTAAATACAAGTAATAGAAGTACTGCCCATCTCTGATCACTGTTTTGCATGGAGGCTCCATACACAAAGTCAAGGTGATGCCTCATTGTGTACCTGAGAATCTCAGGCTGACTTGGAGGAAAATTAATAGCTCACAAAATAAAAATCACTCCCACCAACATTGTCGTTGGTTTGATGTTCAGTTCAAGATTTATATATCTATTTAGGTATTTATGAGTTTGATATTCAGTGATCCAGATTTATTACTTTGACTCAAATGTTCAGTTCTACCTGAGTTTCTAACAAAGTCAAGACTAAAAGAATTGAATGATCATCTTTCTATCTTTTTTAAACTGTCGCTATTACATGGGCCTTTAAAAAATCCAGTATCAGTCGATCTCTAGTTTCTACGGAAATGGAACCTGTATGACTGTCACATCTGCTGTAAATAGGTTTAGTTTTGCTTGATATCCAAAACATGTAGCAGGAAAAAGCCATGTCACGAAGCAAGTGTGTAAGAAATGATACCATTTCTATGGCTGCATCTGTAAATACTACCATATAAGCATGTTTAAAAAAAGGACAACATGTAGTGGGAGAGATGAAAGGCATATTTTATATTGGATTATGTTCTCATTGACACATGGTGAAGCTCAGTTCAGCAGACCATCGCACAAGCCCTGTAATGGCTCTTTTAATGTCTTGTCACACTGAACAGAGCTTTTACCGGCTTACCACTTTGCCACATATCCTCTCATTGCACTAATTTGATTAGGGCTCATATGGCATAATACGTTATGCTGCAATAACCTAGTAAAATTTGTCCAGTGAGAAAGTAAGTATCATAACTGTAGTAATTTCCTCTGATGCTGATGGTACCATTAAACACACTGCGGTATACTTATAACAGAGTGAGTGTAAGGATTTTATAAACTAACACACTAGTGCTACTGCCACCCTAATAACATCTCCTATAGGACGCTTAGCAGTTCATTGTGGTGAGGACAATATACTGGCCCTGGCAGTAAAGAATTAACCACAATACAAGGCTTGGAAAGCTACTCTTCCTGTGCATCAGCATTATCTCACAAGGTCACTGGCTTTGCTAAGTGGTTGTCATAATATTGACGACTTTATGTACAGTCAACATAGACACAAGTGCTGTACCAATTCATCCCCCACTCAAAGATCATCTTCATTCATCAATTCATTATATTTTGTTACAATATCTGATGTGATTATTTTTTCGAGTTTTTTTGCCTTTAATGTATAGGACAGAGTGAAAAGGGGTGAGAGAGAGAGCGGGAGGGTGACATGCAGCAAATGGTTGCAAGCCGGACTCAAACCCACAACCACTGCGTCGAGGCATCGCCCCTGTACATGGGGCGCTGGCACTATCCACTACGCTACCGACGCCCCAATATCTGATGTGTTGTTGACTATTCTTTTCACTAGATGATTTGTCTGAGTTATCAGCAAAGTATAAAACCGCATGCAAAACAATGCTGTTTTACAAGTTACAAAATGTTTTCAGATTGTTTCCTGCATTTCAGTTTTTCAGGCTGATTGTTGTATTTTTAAAACAGAAGAAAGGTGCCAATACCTGATGTTTTGTGCCAATGTTCTATGGCTTTAACTTAAAGATATATTATGCAGGATTTAATAATTCTTCTTAATCATCACTTATGCCCCACTAGAAGTGTGTGGCAGTGTATTAATCTGTGGAGACCCTGCCCTATGCCTGTATTTTCCTCTTATTTTGCCATGCTCGGGACATTCCTGGGCACAGGTGACGTCAGAACTTGCCAGACAGTAAGCAGCATGCATCCCAGAGGAAGCTACGAAAACGGTAGACAAAGCATTGGAAAATGCAAATATGGCAAATGGGGTTTGGTTTCACTTTCACTGGCAACGTGGTTTACAAACAGTAGCTGACAAATTCTGCACAGTTTACAAAAAAGTAAGACCCCAGACATTGATTTTTGATTGAGTGGAAAAGCATCTGAAAAAAACTTAGACATAGAATCAATCTGTCTACTTAAATATAAACTAGATCAATGATTTTTATTTTTTTAGAGTGTCGGTTAAATAATTAAACTATGCCTTGATAATACAATTACACATTAAATTTAACCTAGCTGTCATAAAAAAGGAACATCAATTAAACCATTGGGTACAAAAAGCAACACCCAGCCCTTAATTAAGGCACAAATCTCTGCCCACTTCATCAATAAATGTAATGTACTGGTTTAATCCTACCACAGATGGCAAGAGTGTGTACTCCGATTAAGCTGAAAGAAAAGCAATGAACAGCAGGTCAGCTCTATTATCTATGTGGATCTGTTTTTTTCAATATTACTGTATTGTGTTGAAAGCTGTGAAAATATCTGTGCCTCACTGCCCAGGTAGTGTGATAAAATCTATTGTGTCGACTGTTCAGTGTGACCTTGCAGAGAAGCAGTGATGTAACTGCAGCACTAGCACGACTGTGGACTGACCCAGTGGAGATTAGTTCCAAGGAGGTTCAATTTATGTGCAATGCTCTGCCATATTTCCTGTTGGTGCTTCTTATTAAGTGACCTTCTTAACACCTTCATTATGACTTATCAGCCTGTAAGTTGTGCCAACACAGAACAGGTGAGAAATACAAGTCGCCTTAATCATTGTTGCTAGTCCTTCCTCAACATCCTAATCTCATGCTGTGTGTGCCACTATTTCTCACCCAGTAGAGAAGCAGTAAAACGCAGAGAGACTGTGTGGTCCTGTCCGAGCAGCTCTCTCAAGTACCCTGGAGAACACTTCAGCACCTCACTGATACCAGACAAGGCAAAAGACTTCCGCACTGACTATACAGCAGAGACAGAGAGAGGGAGAGAGATATGGGAATGTAAATAAAGCCTGTGCATCAGGGGAAATTAAAAGTATAATTTATTTTCCATAAATATTTTTTGGTCCAGCTTAAAAAGTACCTTAGACAGAAAATGCAGGGGGAAACACACATACACATACCTTTAACTTAACATACACCATCCAGCCAAATAGTGGAGGGATTAATATTGGTAGAAGGAAAGCTTCTTATTCACATAAGACAAATTAATCATATATTCCTCACCGCTATATCGTCACTCTCTATCATCTCCATGACACAGGCCACACAGAGCAGCAGCCCACCTCCCTCTGCAGGCCCCAGGCGGCCGCTCCATTTTGGGTCATGTCTGAAGTGGATCTTATCATAAACAATATCCGCACACGTCATGTTGGTCGTTCCACCTGCCAAAGTACAAAATGTTTAACAAATCATTTTATAAGTGAGGCAGGTGAGCAAAAAGAGCTAGTGCAATTAAGTACAGCCCACAACAGAGTAAAAAACACTTCAACACTCTCCACTGACTGTGTGTACTGCATCAAAGTGTCTCCTTTTAACTTATAGCAAACAGGTTTTTATAAAACTGTGCCTTGATAACACAAAACTGGATGTCATATTGGAGATGTAGCTAGCTTTAATATAACTGAGGCTATTAAATATAGTTACAGTTGCCAATTTGTGGAGACTAATTGTACAAATTGAAACTAATTAAGCTGTGTAAGACCTGGTTTTGATGTTTGTTAGGTTAAATAATGATCTTACCTGGTGATTTGATCAAATAGTTGTAAACATCAGAGTACTCCTGTTCAAGCCAGTGGGATCATTTCTCCTAGATAAGCAAGGTAAGAAGAAGGGACACTAAGCTAGACCAACATAATTGAGTTTGTAAATATATCTTTTCCTCTTTGGTAGACATAGGGTGCTAAAATAATACTCATAAGAGGCTGAAACCTATTTTTTTAGCTAACGTTAGCTACATCATTTTGTTAGCGTTTTAGCCCTTGGTTGTGCTAGCATAGACGTTAGCTAGCACAGCTTGTAACCACTGTAACATTAGGCTAGCTAAATAATAACATGTCAAGCTCCTCAAACACAAAACCAAGTTGCAGTATATATTTTCTTTTTTAAAGTAATTTGAGGCCAGCTACAGGCAGCTTGTTAGCGTTTCAGCCCTTGGTTGCTTGGTTGTTATATGATGCGTTGAGCTAGCATAGATGTTAGCAACACAGCTGTAACCATTGTAACATTAAGCTAGCTAAATAATAAAATGTCAAGTTCCTCAAACACAAACCTTAACGTTAGTTGCAGTATACAGTTTCTTTTTTAGCTAGCTACTGGCAGTTTGCTAGCATTTCAGCCCTTGGTTGCTTGGTTTTCACAATATGATGCGTTGAGCTAGCATACATGTTAGCTAACACAGCTTGTAGCCCTTGTAACATTTAGCTAGCTAAATAGTAACTTGGACAGGTTTCTCATAAACAAATGTAAGCTGCAGTAAACAATTTCTTTTTTTTTAAGTTTTCCTTTAAAACGCCAAAATAAAAAGCACCAACAACGCTATCAAATAAAATACATATATTCAAATCCGTTAACTAACCGTTAAACTTGAAAGTGATGTAGTGACGTCGTTTAAGCTCGAGGAAGAAAGGCGGTAGTGTTTTTTTAACGCCCCCTCTTTTCAATCAAAACTTTATTAAACAAAAAACATTTCATTCACAAGATAAATGGCTAAAGTAAAAGTCAAATAGATATTAGTTAAAAAGGCAAATGCAGAAATGTATATTTCATTTCATTTATTTTATTTATTTATTATTTTACAATGCACATCAGCATTTCTGTGAATGTGTCAGTGTTAGTTAGCTGCCTATTTTTCAACTGCAGCCCTTTGGCAAGATGTTTTGAAACCAATAAAAGGATGAAATTCATAAATATAAAGGAGGCAAGGGGGATTTTTTCACTGTAAATTAATTCATAGGTTTTACTTTACTCCTTCTAAGCTTCACGGGATGGATCGACTGGCTAATAATTTATGTTGGAAATGTCAGAAACAGGAACATTTCTACATGCAATCTGGGAATGTAAACTGGTTAACCCATTTTTGGGAAAAGTTGTGGATCATATAGGGAAGTGGCTAGTTACAATGGTACCTAAATCACCAAGGCTTTGCTTTATGGGGGACCGAACAGAATTGCCAGATGTGTCAAAATATGACCTTGTTGTGATAAATGTCGGGGTCATCACAGCTGTTTCTCTGGAAAAATACATCTCCTCTAGATTTTGAAAAATGGAAAGATGCTATGTTAGAAATTGTGTCATTCAAACACATGTTAGCTAGGGTCAGCGATGAAGTTGAAAGCTTTAAGAGGTCACGGGCAGGCTTTTTTGTATTTAATATGTCTGCTGCACTGTAATTATTTGGTGTTTAGTTGTACCGCTGTGGTTGCTAAATTACTATTTGGGGTCTAAGAATGTGTAGCTATCAGGGGCCTGTGGAAATGTTGAGTTCCAGTAACAATACTGTCCAGATTCGACTGACGTTTACACTATATTTTTTTGTCCCCCGTTAAAGGGTTTTTTTGGGGAATTTTTCCTTATCTGCTGTGAGGGTCCAAGGGACAGATGGATGTCATATGCTGTAAAGCCCTCTTAGGCAAATTGTGATTTGTGATATTGGGCTTTATAAATGAAACTGAATTGAATTAAAGATTTGTATTAAATAAATAGCAAATAGTTACTTTTGAAAAGTTAAAGGTCACAGATTACCGGTTACCATGTTAAAAAAATAGTAACTAATGTAACTATTTTAATTGCTTCGTCAAAGTAATGGAAGTTATTACATTTGATTAGGTTTTGATTACTTTTCTAGCACATGTTTTAACTGGGCAATAAAGTAAAAAAAGTCTTAAAAACATGAGCGCACTAGTATTGCAGTCAAATTTGTTGCCATTTTTCTGCCTGTATACCCAATTTTCAGCCAAAAGGCCATTGGGATATACAGGAAAGTAAACCCACTTCCTCCTCAGTGACCTACTCATCCACCCAGTAATACACCCACCTCATCAACTACCACTACAGCACTCGCAGTGCCCAATTCCTGTACAACAAAGAGATGCAAAGCAAGAGAATAAATGCCATATTTCACATATAGACAGTTTACTGAAAGTAATATATTTAGATGCAACCCCTCTGTAATCACCAGAATTTTGATTAGTAACTGTATTTTAATTACATATTTTTTTCTCAATAACTGTCATGGATTGCAATTAAGTTAATGTTTTGTAATTTGACTACGTAACTAGGGGTGGCACGGTGGTGTAGTGGTTAGCACTGTCACCTCACAGCAAGAGGGTTCCTGGTTCAATCCCAGGAGTCCAGAGTGGGTTTTCTGTGGGTACTGTGGCTTCCTCCCAAAGTCCAAAGACATGCAGGTTAATTGGTGACTCTAAATTGTCCATAGATGTAAATGTGTGTGTGAATGGCTGTCTGTCTCTATGTGTCAGCCCTGTGATAGTCTGGCTACTTGTCCAGGGTGTACCCCATCTCTCACCCTCTCAGTCCCCCGTGACCCTTAAGAGTATTAGCAGTTACGAAAATGGATGGATGGACTACATGTACTACTAGTTACATGTAACTAGTCGTACTCAACAACACTGAAAATATGAAAATGAACAACATAACTTTCCCCATACTTATTTCATTGTCATTCAATAAGACCCTTCTGTGTGGTGAGTAATCATGTATAACTATTCCAGGTTAGTACTCCATAATAAAAGTCAGAGAAGCATGGGGCTTATAACCATTTAAATTTGAACTGACATTTCATCAGTGTGTGGGGCTGTTCTGGTTAAATGTTTTGATTCTAAATCACTCAAAATAATTTGTTCAAATAGATGTAACTTCTTATATTATGTTAATGATTGGTTGGTGCACAGGCTGTACTAACTTTGCATGACCTTTTAAACTTCCTCATGGAAATACTTAATTTGCCTTACTATCATATTTACACCGTTTCTTAGCTGAATTGACAAAATGCCTATTTAGGTCATACATATTTTTCTCAAGGGTTTGTTGCTCCATTGTTTTTTATGCAGTGGTGCTCTCAAAAGTGTAAGTGTATCAAAAGTCTCTGAAGTTCAAGGTTAGGCTGATATCTTACATTTGAGCATGAGGCATACATTATCTTTAAAATGATGCATCGGCATCAATTCATCCTCCCAGGAATGTCATTGCTGAATAATATGCTGTGAGTATATGGTGGGATGCATGAGTTTGTTTGCAGTATCATTTAGCAGTGAAGGCCACAATTTGGTTATCGCCATGACAACAAAAGCCTCTCTGCAACAGAGCAACTATCTGATGATAGGAGTGTGGGGGCGATTATCAGCCACTACCAAAATGTCAGTTTATAAGCTCTCTCTACTACTCCTTAAACAGAGTTCACAGCACATCAAAGTAGTGTATGACATGAAGTGCAGCCAGTTCAGCTCTGCCACAGTGTGAGTTTCTGTGTGACAGTGTGCACGAGTGTGTACAGGTGTAGGGTAATGGCACAGTTTCTCAGTGCGCAATATGTGTTGCCTCTGACAAATTGGAGGCAGTTAGTGTACTGCGTTGTAGTACTTTGTGTGCAGGAAGTGGTCAAAGCCTTGTTTGGCTGACTGAAAAGAGTAGCAGACTTCTGACAAGCAGGTGGAAAATATTTGTTTCCAAAGTCTCCATTTGTGCTTGGACAGGAGCTAAATCCATCCGTCTCTGAGTTTTATTGGCCCCTGTGAGGGAGATAAACCAACAGAGAAAGAGACAGAGAGCCTCGCTCATTGCTCAGGTTCGAGCCGACGCGCATCTGTCAACTTTATTTGACAATTATTTCACATAGACAATTCTTCAGGGGCCAATAAAGCTCGGAGACAAATGGATTCAGCTTCTGACCAAGCATAAGTGGAGACTTAACATGCAAGCATTTTTTTCCCCTCATTGCTTGGCCTTTGCTTTTCTCTCTCATTTGGCTTGATATATCTCCAACCACTTCCTGCGTACAACCCCTCCACACACACACACACACACACACACACACACACACGCACAAAAACGACTCTATAGTGTAAAACAATCATGTAGTAATAGATTAAGAAACACTTTGTGCAGATTTAATTCCCCCACTCAGTTATATACAACAGTCATCACTGGGGGCGTTGAGTTATACCCTAAATATAGCTATATACCTGTTTCCAGTCACCAACCCACACTTCACCACTCTGCTTGCATTATCACAACATACTGTTTCCACTGACAACGATGTCTATGTAATTATGACTCAGTGACAAGCCTGTATATATTTAACTGTGGTAGAGACTGACAGAAGTATTGCAGGGCTGTGTCTGTCTGGTGACATTAAGATGCTTCACTGCTCAGAAACAATACCGCATTCACTGTTAGTACAAGCCTTACACTGCTCAATCTGGTTTTTCAAAGACTAGCTATCCTACCATGCATTTTAAAAGGGCGCATAAAATCTTTTAACTTTACTGTAGCTATAAAGATTCTGGATTATTAGCGAACAATATAGTCGACAGAGATATGTGGATTTGAATCACATGACTTGGACATGAATCAGACTCAAGTCACAAATTTGATGACATTAGACTTGACAAAATCAAAAAAGGCTTTTAACTTGACTTGGACTTGAACACCAGTGACTTGTGACTTCATTTGGACTTGAACCTTTTGACTTGACTTAATACTTCCCCAAGCTAGTTTGTTAAGAGAGCAGGAGATGGCGATCAAAATGGCGGCAAATGTGCAGCGGCTCTTGGCTCTCTAGTTTGATGCATTTTCTAGTTCTAGTTTTAAAAAGTAAAAGATGGTTACAGTGCAGTGGTTAGCACTGCCACCTGCTCCAGGTTCGATCCCACTGGCCAGCTGGGGCCCTTCTGTGTTGAGTTTACATGTTCTCCTTGTGTCAGCGTGGGTTTATTCTTCCTCCCACAGCCCAAAGACATGCAGGTTAGGTTAATTGGTGACTCTAAATGCCCGTAGGCGTGAGTGTGAATGGTTATTTGTCTCTTTGTGTCAGATCTGTGATGGTCCACCTCTCGTCCAATGACAGCTGAGATAGGCTCCAGCCCCCCTGCAGCCACCAACAAGATAAGCAGATAATGAATGAATGAAGTACTAGACATTTTTTCCACCATGAGATGAGTTAAATACAACTGTGATTAACTAACTAAGATTAATTCAGTTGTGGTACAGGTTGATAGTGCTATATGATCCTCCTGAGACCCTGCATCCTTGTATGTTTACTTGACCTCAACTTAAACCTGTTGTCCTCATTTGTGGACACTTTCATGTGCAATACTGTGGTAGTAAAAACAAGATGGCATCCACCTCTGCTGAGTCAGTCTGCAGCTGACACAAAAATAAAGAAGGTCCAAAACCTGATCACATTTTATGGTTGAAACTTATTCATTTATGTTTGTAGTTTGATATGGCAACAAATTTGACCAATTTTAGTAGTAAACACTAACAAGCTAAGATACTGCTAATTAGTAAGTACTTGTTTGAAGACATTGGGACTTAGGTTCTTTTACTTATCAGGTCCTACTGATCCCAAATAGCTAGGAGAAATTAAAAATGCATACTAAACAAGAGTTCGGATCTCATGATGATATGCAATGAAAGTGCAATGCCAACACTACTTTTTTATGATTATGTTTAGTTGTTTTAACTAACTTATTTTAACAAATACAACTTTTGAAAATCATTCATTCATTTTGCATATGTAATATATTATTACTCTGTTGTTAAAATGGCATTAAATTTGGTGAAAAGTGCATAGTGATTTGTGTAGGACTCAAAAATTAAGGCACAAAGACCTGGGACTTGATTTGGGACTTGTCTGTCTTGACATGAGTGCATAAATTTGACTTACTTGTGACTTGCAAAACAATGACTAGCTCCCACCTGTGAGTCTACAAAGATAAAGCCTATCAGGTTATTTATATGAAACAACACTTGTTTGTAGTTAGTTTTGAAACAAAAGTTTCACAGAAATGAGATGAGATAAAGTAGGAAGAGGGCGGAACAAGGAAGACGTGTGTGCGCGCGCGTGTGTCTGTGTGTGTGCAGAGAAGCGGCAGTCTCTCAGCCGGGTGTTACATTCAGGTGCGCTTCACCCTCAGAGGTGAAAACTCCTGAAGTCGGTAAAATGGATTATATCCGACTAACGGGTGTGTAAAATATGTAGAAGCACCGGTGCAGCGTTGGAGAATAGGCCGATTAAAGTGAAAGTAAAGACTTAACGGTAAGAAATTAAACTTTTAACAGTTGTTAATGCTCATACTGGGCGTAGTTTTTAACCTGTTGTCCAAATGCATCGACTTTATTGCCCCATTGCGTTTCACACTTTTACCTGTGGGCGTATGATAGCTTTCTGTCTGGTATTTTTGCTCCGTGGCGTTTGTCTGCAGATGTGTGTATAGTTTATAAGCTGTCTGAAAAGGCTGTGATGGTGCTGCTATGTGATCACACTGTTGGGGAAGCTACTTTGAAATCATAGCTTTGCAAGCTGCCAATTACTTCACACTAAAAGAAGTTGAACTACGACAAAGCTTCCCAGGCGAGAGAGATCTGGTTTGGTTAACTAAAGCTGCATTAAAAGTTCAAACTACTTTGTAAAGACTTCATGTTGACAAAGTACATGCATGAAATTAAAAGAAAATATAATACAGAGTGACATGCCAGCAAAAATGCCTCTAAACTCAGTTAACTGCATAGCCAACATAAATCAAATTAAAAAAATTAACTATTCAAAAAGTGCAAAGGAATATCAGCTTTGGTTCTGTATGTAGCGTCCCTCAGTCAGACACCTGCCTTCCAGACACTAGAGTCCAGGTGGGGGTATTACACCAAGCAGGAGCTAGTCTAAAATAGCATGCAACAACTTCTCTGTCAGTTTGTTAGTAAACTGCATCAATCAAGACAATATCATCCCTTTTATGTTCCATAATTGTTTGTAGTTTCAGTCGTTAATGACACAAAAATGGCAAAAGAAAGTGATTTAACTACTTCAATGGCTATTCAAGTATGGGTTATGTTGAACTACCAGAAAGCTACTGCAAAATGTAGTTAAACTACAAAATATACAAAAAGTCACTGGAGTCCAGGTGGGGGTATTGCACCAAGCAGGAGTTAGTCATGCAACTTCTAAAACAGCATGCAACAACTTCTCTGGACATTTGTTAGTAAATTGCAATAATGAAAACTTGATGAACTGTGGTCAGGGGGGTTCAGTTACAGTGGAGAAGCAATGGTAAAAGACGAGATAATTCTTTTAATGTCTCATTATTGTTTGTAGTTTCAGTTATTAACTACACAAAAATAACAACAAAAAAAGTATTTTAAAAATTGAATCACTATTCAAGTATGATTAATGTTGAACTATGAGCACGCTACTGCAAAATGTAGTTAAACTATTAGTTTAATGCATGAAATTATCATGAAATATAATATAATGAGTCACTCGCCACACCTGCCTTCTAGACACTAGAGTCCAGGTGGGGGTATTACACCAAGTAGGAGTTAGTCATGCAACTTCTAAAATGGCATGCAACAACTTCTGTGTCAATTTGTTAATAAATTGCCATGATCAAGACTTGATAAATTGTGGTCAGAGGGGCTTAAATAACGTTAGAGAAGCAAAAAAATCATTCCTGTCCTTTTATGTCACATTATTGTTTGTAGTTTCAGTAGTTAACTACACAAAATTGCAAAAAAAACAACTTTGATTTAACTACTTGAATCAAATCAAGTTTATTTCGATAGAACATTTAAAAACAACTGCATAAATGGAAAGAATGACACACAAATGTATAGCAGTATAACATGCACACAACTATAAAACAGAATAACACTGGTAAGAACAATTACATACGTAAAAAGATTATACAATACTAAAATATTAAAACCACTACAAGCAGCCTTGAAAATATGTATGTGTAAAGTGCCAATGGAGGGGAGCGTTTGATTGAGATTAGAAGGTTAATCCAAAGCTTTCTGCAAAGGCACGATACTGAAATCACTATTCAAGTATAAACTGAAGTTAAACTACCAGCAAGCTACTGCAAAATGTAGTTAAACTATTAGTTTAATTACATAGTTCACTATTTCCCAACACTTACACTTACAGTATACAAAATAAAAATGAAATAGCGAGGGAAATGTTTTAGTTTGTAGAAATTTTAATAATCATTCCATCTTTTTGTGACATGTTAGGCTGTAATCTGTCACTATTGACACGGCATGCTTACTGTAAGTATTCATTACCTAATGTTCTGCTGTTGTTCATTTGACTATTGCCTTTCCACAATGTCTGTGTGTCCCTAAATAAGCTGAAAGACACAACTACAGTAAACAAAATGCATTTTTGTAAGTAAAGTTAGATTCAGTCTGATAACCTTTGAATGTGATGTCCTCTGCGGTTTGTTTGCACAAATTAATATCCTGCGTCACTTCCTCTGGGCTGAGAAATATTAGTCATCAGATGTTTCCATCCACATCTGAACTTGTGAGCCACAGCATCTAGCAGCATGGCAAAACTGAAAGCCTATTTGCAAATATGCTGCAGCAGACCTTACTCTCAGCGTGTGGGCCACAGCACTGAGATAAAAAACCAACATCACCACAACCTGAGGAACTGGCATGCAACAAAACCACAATGAATCTATTGTGTATGTCTGTTCGGGGGCCAGCGTAGGTTCTTTTTAAGCACCCAACAAGACCCCACTCACATATTCCCTCTGCTGCAATACCAGCACAGTTTGCAAATATGTTTTTCTTTTCCTCCCAGGTGTCTTATCTTTGTGCTGCTCAAAAAAAAAAGACAAACACTAAAGCTTATCTTCTCCCTCAACTGTTCCATCAGCACTTTCCGCAACTGATGTAAGACATAATAAGCAAACAAGGGAAAACTGCACCAATAACAGTGGCTGGTATATTACACAATACACCCGCATCCCCACATATAGACAGTGTAGCTACTGTGCAAGCCTGTGAGTTTGACGGTGAGGAAGCAAGGTATCGTGTCATGTGGCGTCGTTGTGGCCAGAGCCCTCATATTCTGTCCTCAGCTGGCACCAACTAGGGGAGTATTCACTTTCACGCAAGGGCAGTGGATTTGACTTGAGATTCAACTCCATAAAACGCTGAAATCTGAAGCTTTCCTTTAGACGGGAACGTGGTGATGAGAGAGAGAGATGACACAGAGGATAGAGTTTGAGTATCCCCCCTTTCCCAAAGATGCTCTTCAGATCTGAATGCTCGGGGCATGACGTAAACCGAGGCGACGTTAAAATCACTCCAAACTACAGGGCTGTGGAGAGAAAGCGGAGAGAAAAGGGGGAATGAGAAGAAAGACAGTGACAAATGAAAGTGAAGAGTTGCTGACTGAAGAGCGAGAGGGAGGGGGAGAACTGCGTCTTGCTCCGAGTGTTGGGGGGAAAAAAACTGTAAGACAGATTTTCAGGCTCAAATGTGACTGATTGTGATGATGAAAAGGCGATGGAATTGATAATGAACCATCATTACTGTAGTGGCGATGATGGATTTTCTATCGTCGAGCTGATGATATGCGGAGATTCGTATTTATTATGAGGAGAGAATTTTGGCTCTTCTGCATGAGATTGCTTTTCTTTAGTTAATTAGATTGATGGGTCGGTCGCTTTGTGCGCTGAGAGACTCCATTCAGAGCGAATAAAAACGGCGTCACATAATAGCAAGAAAAAGGAAGAACAAAAGGCAGAATAGTAAGAGGCACAAAAAATAAATGCTTCAAGGCATTTTTCATCTACTGTGTACAGGCATTGTAACTTTTATCCATTTATCCACCCACACAACAGCACTACTCAGCTCAGCCTATACTCACCCGTCAAGTCGGCAGAAATTGCCTTTACTGTAGAAGAATCTGTGTGAGCCTGACTGTATATTCTGTTGTTTTTTTAATTTATTTCTCACTTCATTCTCCGCTATCAACTCCTCCAGGTTTCTAATGACTTTCACCTTTCTCACACCCTCCTCATTCTCCCCATGTTGTCAATTTTTCGGTTTCAAATGCCACTTTTTTCATCCCGTCTTCCCCCTCTATGGCTCCTAGGTTGGAGCTCCTAATCTTTCTGTCCATGAACTAACCAATCCCTCACACCACTCACTACTTCTTCTTCTTTCTTCGTTCTCTTCAGCTATCCCCTGTCTTCCTCTCCTCTCCTGTCATGTCCATGAGGAACCCACCCCAGCGCCGGCGCTCTCTGGGTCCTGTCTCGCCCAAACGCATCTACAGAAACCTGTCTGTCAGACTGAGGGGAGGAGATTCATCTGTTGCTTCGGAAACGGACGCACCCAAACACCTCAGCAAGTCTGCAGATGCTGTAAGTCTTGGGTCTTCAACTGGGATCACCAAATTATTGTTTGATAATTTAAGGTTTAAAAGAGCAGTGTGTAGGATTTAATGCCATCTAGTGGTGAGGACTACAAATTACAACCAGCTGAATCTTCTGTGTGCCAAGTATGAATTCGTGGTTCGTATTCCTTCAGTGTTCATTGTTCAGGAGGTTTTCTACCAGGAGCCGATTTATCCAAAGAGGTCTCCTGCTCTTCAAAACAAACAGACAAGTGATTAAAACTGGTAAATGAATAAAGAACATTACAAATGAGTGTTTTTCCAATGCTATTCGGCTCGTCGCAGAGGGGCTGCTAACTACAGTGGCCAACGTGAAAGCATGAAAAGCCCCGTATAGAGCCAGGATGTTAACATGACATTAGAGAAAATCGATTTATTGTGTCAGCCCGACAAAAAACATGTAAAATACATGTGAACAAACAAGTTTATTAAAGTCAGACTAACGCACCCAGATAACAGCCTGGAAATCCAGACCCAAATCTAGAAAGATTTAGGGTCTGGCCATGGGTAATGCAAATGGCCCAACTCGAGGGGCGGCATCAAGCATGCATTTGTAAATATCACTGCACGCAATTGGATAACACTACGACCAATCAGAACAATACACGGGGTGACTTATCCAGAGCTTAGCTACCAGCGGAGCTAACTGGTAGATTAGACTCTTGCCGTATCCGGTCGGCAAAACAGCAAAAACGTCCTTCTTGCAAAGTGAAAGATTCGAGCACCGTCTTCTGTTCCTCTTTTAGAGAAAAAGCCAAGTCTAACTCGTTCACTGTAGCAGCCAAAGCCGTTTCAAACAGCTGGTGTTCATCCGTAGCCATCTTGTAGCCAGTTTACTGACTGATTCCGGACTTCGTCGTCGCAGCGCTGTCGTCATCTGTTTAGCTCGCCTCTGGCCCGCCTATATCAGATACACCGATGTGATTGGTGCAGCTCGGCTACAAAGGCATGGGTAATGAGCATCATTACTGATTGCCAGAGTGACTCGCTGAGCAAATTCAAATTGTGCTCTCGTGAGAACTCTGGATTTCCAGGGTACCCAGATAATGCGAATGGGAGTCAAATCACTCTGGTACGTATTGGACCCAAACTCGCCGAGGCGCTCTGTATGCTCCCCAGTTTCCATCCCGGCCTTTGACCTGGACGTCGAATAGCATTAAATGCAGAACAGAGGAAGAAGCCAGTGACAACATGTCAAAATCTACATCCAGAGCCGTGCAGTTGTAGAAGGATGAGGAGACACAGTTCATGCTGTGTCAGATGAAAGAGTTTAATATTTTAAAACACATGGATGGGAGGAAAAAACAGGATGACGACCTGTTCAAAAAAGTGGCAGAACAGCTGGACGATGCTCGATTGTTTGGTCTGTGATGTAATAGGTCGGCCAGAAAAAGGTCCAGTACTAATAAGCTGAAAGCTATCTATCCCCACCTGTTGTAACGGAGACATACACACCTGTTGGACATACTTCGGTCAATGATTCGATTCCCCTCTCTTGCTCGTATACTGGCACAAGGACAGTAGTCCAATTAAATGGCCGAGTTGAGATATAACAGTAGCTCCACTTAACTGTGCATTTAAACTTACTGAGTGTTTGGTTTGTCTGTTCTGGGCTACTGTAGAAACGGTGCAACATGACAGACTCCGTAGTCGAGAACCGGCTCACTACGTAGATATAAACGGCTCATTCTAGGATAACGAAAAGACAGTGATTCTTATTTTCAGGTGATTTTACACCAAAGAAAACATACTTTTTATATTTAATTTCTGTCAACAGATTCCTTTAAATCCTACACACTGGACATTTAAGTTGTCTCATGTCTGAAAATACACAAAATCACCATGCTGCGCTTATCCACACCAATGAGGTGAAGTTAGCTAACATTTATGTAACATATTAGCTAATTATTTTTATTATCATCCCAAGTGTATGGAAATTCTTGTGAGCCACTATGGATCTCAGACTCTGGCATACCGTCCACCTCATTAGCTACTTCGTCAGCCTATAAGAAAACATCATCCCTGGTATTAACGCCACCACCAAAATGCTTCGCAAAGGGCGGGGCTTAAAAGGAAATGGGCCATAACTCAAATTTTATTGAGCAATCCTGATTGAGTGCAGTGGACACATCTGAAACTAACATCTGAACGCTCAGACCAAGTTTCGTTCAGTTAAAAAAATGCTGCATACATTGTAATGGTGGGACAAGTGTGTGATTGTCTCACTTATTTAGACTGAATTACACAAAGTAAAGTAATTTTGCTCAGCCTTGTGGAGCCCAAAACCCACTTGCTGCAGCTTATGGCTTTGATTTTGGGTAACTAAGCTGCTTCGCTCTATTGGCCGAGAGAGATCTTGAAACTAGGATTGCTGCTTGTGGCTATATTTTCTAACATTTTTGGGTAAAAATGGCTATTTTGATAGTAAAGTTTGCCGACTTCTGCTTTGGTTAAAATGCTATCCTGTCTGGCAGAGTGTCTTTTTGTTTTTTTGAATTACAAGATCTTATTAAGCCATTACATGTTAACTGTGTGTCACTATGAATACATTATTCCAGCCAAGATTGCTGCTCTGATTTATGACTTGATTTACGTGTCACCGTATTATTGTCTCATCTACTTTCTTTGCACAGCAACTCCCTTCCCTCTCCCCCATAAAATAAATCTCTCTTATGAGTATGAATTCTCTTCCTCTGTCTTTCACGCTTGCCTGCCCTCCCCATATTGGCCCTTTGCCCTCTCCCCCTGCTCCCCGTTAGTACAAGACCCTGTGGGAAGCAGTGGAAAATGAGGACACTTTGGCCGTGCAAAGCCTGCTGTCCAGAGACCATACCAACTGTGGAGGAGGAGGAGGAGGAGGAGGAAGCATGTGGGAGCGAGGGGAGAAGAAGGAGAAAGACTGGGAGCGAGAAAGGGAGAAGGGGGTGAACAGGGTGAGCGAGCAGGGCCTGGTCCCCCTGGACGTGGCTGCCCTTACCCACAATTCCCCCCTGCTCCATGTGTTGACAAAGGCGGGAGCACGACATAACCCTGTTTGTAAGGCTTATTTTTTTAAAATATCATGAGTAACATAGGGCTGGGCACTATATATATCCATATTTTATAGATATTGTGAGGTTTTGGATATCTTAATATTGTAAGTGTTGTCTTTTCCTGGGGCCATATTCACAAAACTTCCTAGTACAAAGAATCAAAGAGTCAATTGTGATGCTTTCTCAGAATTTCCCCTTAAAGTTAAGACTAAATTTTATAAAGATAAGTTATTCACAGAGCATATTAGACCTTAAAAGAGCTCCTGTAACTGCACCGGTTTAAGGAAATAATGGCCATGCATCAAACAAATGTCTTTTAAGTTTTATTTCCATCCTTCCCTCCTCCGCAGGCACCCAGACACCGTGAAAACTACAAAAAATAAAAAACATGAAAACAAGGTTTGAAATGCAAATCTCTTAATTACTTTTACAGTCTCTCAACAAATGTCCACACAGGTCACTTAAATGAATATTATAATCAGATACAAACCCAAATAAAGGTGCAAAAAATTATTTTTATGTATCTTCTATGCAACCATGTCAGCTCTCTGCTCTGTAGCCACGTTGGCGCTCTCTGCCGCCGTACTGCCTCAGCCCATAATGCCACTCGTGTGACCCCTGAACTCTAGTCATGTGACCTATTACTGTAGATCAGAATAAACTTACATAACAAACAATACATTTTTCTATAACTTAACAATATTTTTAAAAGTGGCATGTTTTAAAAAGTTACATTTTTTTACTTTTTCTTAAATCAGTTTTTAATGACAGTTAATTTGAATGTTAATGAAATTAGGACAGAAAATATAAAAAGCATTTTAACTACACTTCAGTAAAACAAGCATTTAAACAGTTACAGCTCCTAAGGTGAAAAACTGTTAGGGGTAGAGAGGAGGACTTTTAAGAGTCTTAAGAGTTTCTTAATCAGAGGAGAAAATGGTGGAAGCACAAAGAGGTCGGAGAAATATTCTCCAAACGATGGATGACAGTGATTAAATGAAATGCTACAGATTAGATTGCACAAGAATAATGTGTGTGGTTGATGTCATTAGGGATGCACACACATTTCACACCTAACACAATAACGCTATAACACCAGAAATAAAATGATCACAACACTAAGATATTTCAGTGACAACAGTTTCATAGTCAGTAGTTAATTTCATTTCCACTGGGTGTCCACACCTTACAGGCTCGCAAAAGGGCATCTGTGACAACCAATCACATCTGTTAAAAGAATGCATCATACCTAGCAACAGGCTCAACCACACCTCCTCACTAAGGTAAAAGTTTCTGTCCGTTTGTTGCTCAGAGTTGATCTGAGTATGGGGTGCCATTTGTAAAGTGTCTCCCGCTGAAAATAACATCAACATTTTGCCACATTTAGCTTCAAACAAGACATCCGCTTAATGAGTCATTACAGACACTGCTAACGGTGCTAAGAGCTAACGGTTGTTAGCTTAGCTTAGGTTGTTAGTCCCTCCGAAGGGACACTAACAACTCAAAGTACACATCAAATAAAATTTCTCCAAACACGTTTCTTGTTATTTTAGGTAGTTATTATCACGCTAATGTATGTTCAAGTATCCATTTCCCCTGATAAGTTGGTTTTAATTCGTTATTTGATTCTATAAACACAGTCTGACCATCTCGAGCTTTTATTTTGGTACTTCC